ACTTAAGAAGCTGAATCTACATCCTCAAGTAATATAAGAAATATTTACTGCAAAGTTGGATTATTAAAAGATCGACAATGTTGTCTATAAAGATCACAGAAAGACAAGGTGAATATTTTCTTTGATCATTTTTACTTCTTTTAGTAACAGTGAACGTTAAAAACTTACATTGAGCTGTCATGGAACGAATTACATGTGTAGTATATAAGACTTGATTCTTATTAGAAAATTGCTATAAATTGTATACTACAACTTAATGCTTAAGATGAACGTATCTCGACTTTTAATAACGACCAAATAATAAGAAAACGAGTAATAAAGTATGCAGGATGGCCCACTACACAGACCCTAATTTCTTCTATTAGGGTGATACTGTAGAAAAAATGAATTAACAAAGTTTTATGGTTCAAGGGGCGTACGCGTAACAAAAAGTTTTGTTCGAGGGGTTACTTTTTTCGAAGTTATCAGGGTCATTGCTATTTATTATTTTTTTTTTACACGATAGTTTATTAAATCGAGTACAACGACCAAAAATACATATGTAATACTTTTTCCAGTCGGTCTGAAACATTACGAAGAAAAATAATTAAAAACGGATTGACTTTTCGTACTCTTCGGTGGACGAATTTTTGCTCGTGAAATTTGTAAGATACTGGTCGTCGAATTCAGCTAGTAGCACTAAGCTCGAGCACAGGGGTGCAGAGTGTAAAGATGTTCGATCGAGGCAACGCGTTGCAACGTGGCGGAAGAGATACGGATACAACTACCACATTTGCTCCTCCTAAGTAACGTTGCTCCGAGAATTTCACGGAGATCGAACGAAGCAAGTGCACTGCTAAGAAATTAACGCTTCTCACCGTAACGACGTACATTTTGGCGAGGAAAATGATTTTTCGCAGACTGGTCTCGCTACACTTTTATTTTCGCTTCGATTATAAATTACGGAACGCCCGTTTTGCTCGACGGTAGATTGAGTCCTGCCAAACTCGATTTAGTCTTCGCGGCTTCTTGGACCAACGCGTCCCTTTCTCAGGTAGTCACATTCCTTATCCTAATCCAGTATTTGGACTATGCTAGTTCCTTCATTTGTTTACACGGTGAAATAACATCGAGTGTCGATTGTTAAACTCGATAACGATTTTACAGATATGACTCGCAAAAATAACAATTAACGATCGAATTTCAGTGTTCGTACAGTCGAAAAAATTCAATTCTACGTAACAATTACTATTTTATAACCGTTGGAAACATTTTATTTCTCGAAAAGTATTTGTCGAACATTCATCGAATCGCGTACGGTCAACCATCGAACAATTTATTTAAGTGCACCTTTAACGTCGTTTTCCAATAAATTCAACGAGAGAGTTCTCCGATAATTCCGATAAAATTCGCGTTGCAACATCGAAAGTCCCGTGCCCTCGGAAGAATTTGAAAATTTACGACTGCGAACCACGGTTTTAATCCAACCGTACCAGAAACAATAATTTCTTAACCCTAACGCAGTATACAGAGTATCGATGTACAGGCTATCTTTTTATACTTGTATATTTTATAGCTTTTCCGATATGCACTTTGCGCGATACGGAATAAAAACTGCAACTTCGAATTCGCAATCCACCGTCTCGACATCGACGGTTGCCGTAGAAAAATAGAAAGTAACGTATAGTGTGCGAATAGCGTTGCATCCCACCGTAGCTAATGTTCCTAAGAATTCCTTTATGCTCGAAAGAATTTACTCGTTCTAAGGTCGGAGATGCTTCGAAATATTCCGACATGGTCGCTTTAGCCATACTTCGAAAACGTAAAATTCAGCGAGAGTCAATTTAGACCGTCGAAGTATACCAGTTGTTAGTTTTTAAGCGCAATTACGAAGGGTAGCAGCGACTTGAACGTCCAGGGCGCAGCATCGAAGCACCGACGATTACCGTGCAGGCTTTAATTACATCCTTTCGAGCCGTTACATCGCCCGACCGTCGAGATAAATGAATATTTATCATCCTCTTCCCCTAAACACATTCGAAATCTAATCCTTCCTCCCTCCTGGTATCAACCGGTGACGCAACTACCATCGATGTTTACCAACTCCTCCCGGGTCCTTCGACTTTCTTCGATCGCGTCCTTTTCACGGTGCCGCGAATTACGCAAATTATCGGTGTAACCGCGTCCCCCCATCGTTCCATCTCTATGGTCTCGACTATTTCGATTGCTTCTGGTCGAAAAGAGACGCGAACAACACGACGTCGACACCGCGATATTGCAAACCAAATATTCCACGATCCGACGGAGTATCCTGCTCGACAGCAATTTCCAACCGCCCAAACAAAAGAATTAAATTAACAGAGACGAATATTTGGCTCGTGCGTGCAATTTAATTTTTTTATATAAAATTTAGTTCTTTGTAAGATTTGTTTAAAATATTTTTATATATTAGAAAAATAACTTCGACGGATAGCTATACGATATTTACGACGTCGGAATTATCTTCGACCCAAAAACGAAAATAAGAAAATATGTATAATGTAAGAACGTGAAAAATTGAAGGTAAATTGAAAAACTAATCTACCGCAAAAATAAGTATTAAGAGTATCGATTAACTGTTATTTAGAAAGTAAATTATCAAACGTTGATTCCCACAAAGTGTAGAATCAGCTTTTTGACATTTTTCTCGATACTTTCCTTTTTCATATGTCACAAAATTAAAAATGAGAGACAGATATCGACGATGGACCATGTACCAGTAGATAACAATTTATAAAATTAATATTCCTAGATATATTCATTAATTATACACTCTCGAAACTAAATCAGTTTTCAATAGCCACTGCCGTCACGAATTAAATTTTCTACGGGGCAAACTACCCTTAAAGGTGTTCTTTAAAACTACTTAATTATATATGTTTAATTATACCCATTCAACTCAATGTTTCGTTTGAAAAGTAAGGTAACAATTTATTTTCCAATGATTTCAATGTTATTCTTTACATGTTCCCACGAACGGTGCAAGAAATCATCTACCACGTGAAAAAGAGACTAAATTGAGTACTAAAATTTTCAATATCGAGTCAATCAACTAAAAAACGTTCACAGAAAATTCGATATAATTAGGCGCATGGAACGTCTGGTAAGTTACAGCTTCGCAAAATGATAAGCGGTTCGGTGAATTTGATACGATCGTTCCTTAAGAATTAAAAAAAAAAAGGTATATAGGTTTTCGTGACAATGTTCTCTTCTCGTGGTCAACTACTGGTACACTTACCGTGGATAAAAACGAGTCTTCGTGGAGACATTGGTCGCGGGCGTCGCGGATGCATCGAGCCAACCGAGAGGCGGAAACTCGGAGGTCCTCGAAGCGCTGATACCCCAGCCAGCCGCGCGGATTTCCATCAAAAAATCCTTCGATCCTAATCCCGTCGCCTTGCCCCGCCGTAGCGACACCATTTTTCTCTCTCTGCTCCGGGGCCGAGGGCACTCGAAACGCGCAAACAGAAGGAAACCTAATAGAAGAAGCGGGGAAGAAAACGGTGGGACGAGGAGAGGCGATCGCGAGGAGGAGAAACGAGCGAAAGAGAAAGGGAGAGGACAAGAGTCGGGGGAGAGGGGGGCTGGATGGAGAGAAGCTGTGACGAGGGGGAGCCAGAACGGGAGGGAAGAGGGGGGAGAATCACGTGGGAAAGGGGAAAAGCCGAGATACGGGGAGAGATCAATACGAGGTCGCTAGGCAACGAGCCTCCGGCGATCTCGGTCCGGGTAGACAGGGTGCCGCCACCAACCCCTGAAGCCACCCACCAAACCACCCACCAGTCACCCCCCGAACCGACCTGCCTCTGAATATACACCGTGCTCACCTCTCCCACCGTTCCTCTCTTCTCATCCTACTGTTTTTCATCCCGGTGTTCCTCCCCGCGACCCGCCGCGAACCACCCACCCCCCACAGCCCTCCGCGCCCGCGGACGGTCCTAGCCGGCCTATCGCGCTATCTCCTGCGGACGCACGCTGCCTTCGAAATCTCTCCTGCACCTGGCTGCGAGCTCTTGATACCCGCTTGCAATATTTACGATAACCGTTTGCATAGGAATCTCGATTTTGCGGCGGATACGCTCGCCCGTTCGCCGCAGGGACGTTGACGGTGTATCGGAGAGGACCGCGGCCTCCGGGCACGGTTAACCTCGGCCGGTCCTCCGTTTTCCTTTGCACGGTCCGTGCAACGTCGCTACGGCGTACGCGATCGATGACTCTTACACCGGTGGTCGTTCGAACAGTTTTCACGGAGAACGTTCGACGCTCGATTGATTTTGGACGGAGAGACCGAGCCTCTGACCCGGATGTACCGCCACCTGTTGTAGGGCCACCGTCCAGGTGCAAACTTGGACGGTGCTTCGTGGAAAAGAACGGAGAAATTCTGAATATTCCGGGTATCCGATGCGCGGCTCTCAAGTGTCGACCGACGAAAGTATCGAAGAGTTTCGGTGATTCGCGTTCGAAAATAATCGTTATTTTTTTTAAATTTTATATTCATAATATGTATAGTAATTAATGATTCGATTTATTGCACAGATTTTAACGTTTCCACTAATTTCGTCGTACACGTTCTTTTGCAGTCAATATTTTTTGTTCTGGTAGATACGTCGCTAATTTGAGTAGTATGCAAAAATTCAGTTGTTTAACGCAATTAAATAAACGTGACATTCTGTTCCTGATATAATTAGCCGTTCAGCATAGGATTGAATATTTTCGAGTAATTGTTCATAAAATAACGAAAAGTTCATCGAGTTTTTTTTTAATTTAAGAGGAAATCAAATCGTTTCAGTATTTCTTTGCTATTAAATTTCAAATCTAGATAGAAGATCAGAGTTCAAAGATAAAAAAACGCTGTTACGAATTGGAGATAAAACGAACCTTTTTGACGACTATCAGCAGAGTGATGGATGATACGTGGAGTAAATTGAGATGATAGATTGAGGTTAAACTAAACGTAACTCACGATGCACGTAATAATTGGTCTAATCGGACAATTGACAGAGCATAGCTACGCCTCGTAGAATCCAGTGCTCCGGTGGATGCTCCGTCGGGAGCCATATGGCGATTACGAAGTTCGTCGAGTGGCCGGTTGTCGACAGGACGCCCTTCCTCTCGGTGGTTTTGTACACGGGACAAGTATACGTGTACTTCTCCGATACTTCATCCTTTTTCGCTGGTACCAGCCAGATCTACCGAAACGAATATAACAGTCAAAGGGGATTGCAAATCGCGGAACGAACTCACAGTGGATCAGAAGTTGAAATTTAATATTGTAAAAATTTGAAAACATATCTGTCGATTAGCGATTTAAGAGAGGCTAGGTCTATAAATACACGTAACGACTGGTTTTTGAGATAAATAAGCTCATACGTCAAAATTTTTATTTATGAAATGACCATGGCTCGCGTGTCACAAAAGAGAAGTAGTAAGGTCTGATATAATTGTTCTCCAAAATGAATATTTGCATTTTCTGCTACAAATATTCATTTTAGATGGAAAACGGTAGACATTTTTAGTACTTCGATCGAAATTTCGAGTCGGCGTCATTGTTCTTATAAAATATTTTCGTTTGACTTCATTTATTTCGGATACCAGTGGCCACATGTGGCTAAAAACTGGGTGTCTGTTGACTCTTGTCGAGACCTACAATTTGGTACATGTCTCATTAAAAATGAGTGGTCCACTTCTTGCCACCTTTATACGCACGTAGACAAAAAGAAAATGACAATGTACAGTTTCCACGAATCTGAGTAATAGCTCGTGAAAAGAATTCCGTCCATTTAAAAAGCTATTCTGGCCTAAAAGTTTGAAAAATCAATTTTTCTGTTGTTTGGATTCGTAAAATTAATAGCTGTTTTAACAGTACAGTTGAAAACCTTATTTCTTGAACTTCTATGCACAATATCTCATCTTCAGAAGACATATTGCTATCAGATAAAGCAGAGATTTTTACAAACATTCTGTTTTTCATATTTTTTAATCTCAATCTAATCAAGATGCTATTTTCCTTCTTTATTTCACATTAATAAAAATTGACCTTCCAAGCCAAGCTACCCCTTTGACGTAAGAACAAGTTTTTGAAACTAGAGTAACTCCTTCGAAAGAAAAGAAGATTTCATTGTTTAACGTTAGGTTTAACTTTTCAATTTAAATTAAATTGAAACGCATCGTTCGAACGAAGACAGAAATGAGAAAGGCACTCACGTAAGGAACAACATCGTATAAAATTTTTGGTAGAGACTCGGCGAGCTTCATTGTTGCCATATTGAAGCGAGCTCCGTCGAGAAACAGGCCGTAAATGTAAACACCGTCGGCTGGTGGTTCGGAGAACACAGTTTCTTTCAAAGGAATAAAATCGTAGATGAGAAGATCTATAGGGATCGAGTATTTCCTTGCGTAGTTCTGGCGTGCGCCGGTGAGAAACGCTTGAGTGAAGTAGAAACCAGAGATCCAGAAAGACGTTGGCGGCCCCTCATCGTACCATAACTGCAAGAAGGTTAAAAAAAAAATCGAACAACCGGCTATCGTACCATCTAGTGTAAAAAAAAGATAATTTAATTTAACAATGTGGGAATAATTTAGTAAAACGATTCTGGTGCTATTGCAATCTTGTTAAGCTTTGAGAGAACCGAAAGAATAGAATAGAGAGATAAACTGATATCCACTTTAAATGCGTAAAACATTTTAAATCAATAAGTTTAGTCATTCCCGAGGTATCATGAGTTTGAGAAAAACGCATTTAAAGTTTAAGAGCACTTTCAAGATAGATGAGCATAATTGCTTTTCCACCCGCGCGCTGCTCCCTCCAAAGTACTGTAGCTTCAGCAGTTATTCGTATTTCGGTATAAAATTCACAGGACACATTTTTAGAAAGACTAATTAAAAGAAAATGGATATTTTTTGACACTCTTACTGAAAATCCACCCTTTGGAGAGCATATACGTCTGAAAGATTTATGGAAAAGTTGGTTAGCATTTCATGTTCATTGCCTCCTATCATAATTAATTTTAAATTGTGGTAGCCATTTGCAAAGAGCTGAAAATGTACTGGAAATCAATTATTTCGCGTGCAAACGATATATAAATATTATTCTCGAGTAGATATTAAAATTATATTAGACGATAATTCCTAAACTATCAGAAAGGTAATTCTAATTTTAAATCATTGTTAAGCCTTTCCAGAGCACATTCATCCACCGACAGATTAAAAATGACATTGACTATGAGACGTATTTTCATTTTTAATATCGTATTTCGTAAAACTTTTTCAATTCACTTTACTATTAGGTCTCGTTTTGAAAGACCCTGTATGACTTTCTGGATGAACATAGATACCTGAAGGAAAACCAGTCTCTTTAGGAAGTCCTGAACGTAGCTGCCCAGCGGCTTCAACGACGGATAGGAGTTTCTCATCCACATCTTCGGTATCCTCCCAGTAATTATCGACATGTAGACTTCTTCGAGGTCCGGGTTCATGATCACCAGACCTTAGATCAGCGTTCACCAGGGTGTGAAAAATCGATCGAGCGCCGTAGTCGCTTAGTCATTTACCTTTGATCGCCCTCTGAACATTTATGAGGCTATTCCTGATCGTTTGCAGAAGCTTGTTGAATCTTCCCATTTCCTGGACCAGCACCGTGTTCATGCTTTGATTATATAACGTCGGATACTTCTCGAGTGCCGCGACGAGATCGAAGTCCTCCGGCAACTTTGACAGAATATCAGACGCCACCCCGTAGACGGTCTCGTCGGGCGATTTCCCTGTGTCTGTTTCCGTTTCTCCGGTGTCCTAATTGGAGGACGGAGCAACACGGTGCCTCGTTAGTAATCCGCATAATTCGTCACGCAGAATACATTTAAGGAACGCTATTATATTTGTGAAACACGACCGTCCCGTGCGCGCAGCGCACCTTAATTGTCTCGAAATTAATGAACGAAGATAATGATAACGCCACGGCACCGCCAATGCCACCGGGAATTTGTTCAACGGGAATTGATAATATTTTTAATGCGCGCGAACGCGTGGTCTCGGACCAGCGTTCTTTGTGTCGTGTTCTGGAACACGGCCAGCGAACGGAATTGCCTTTTATCCGTGGAATAATTATCGCCCGACGGTTGTGAAAAATAAAAAGACAAGAGACAACGGGAAACATTGTCAAAAAATTAATAAAAAGGATGGTGCCTGGGCAAAGCTGTTGTGACGCTTCTCGCATTCGCCGCCAGAGGGCTACGCTCTCTCGCGAGTACTCGACCAACTACCTATTTAAATATGGCGTCGCCACAAGGCTAAACGAAATTTCATATTAAGTCGTTTGCAAAGGCGTTTTTGAGGAATGTTCTCACTGCACGAAGGAAATTTGAGCAGTATTGTGCACGTCATTAAATTTGTTTTAGTTGAAAACGAGCATATCCGGTACTGTAATCTGTTGGATTTTAATTTGAAGAAAAAACGGTAGAACGAGAATGAGATTTGTTTTATGAACTCTTGCCTGATCAAACAGTCAATACTGATTACTATTGCCAGTGCAATTAACCAAGAAATAAGAAAAGAAACACGATAATGCGAGGCCACGTGTTGGAAAAACCAACACCGAAACGACGTGCAAGTTTGGATGGGGAAGTCTTCCCTCCCACAGTCTATTTCCCAGATGAAGCACCTTCTGATTACCATCTGTTTCGATCGATGGAACACGACCTCAGAGGGAAAACATTCCGAAAATTCGACGAAGTGAAAAATTGGTCGACGCATACTTCGTATCTAAACCACCGGGTCGTGGAATTCAGCTTTCACCGAACAAGTGGGCGAAGCTACATCAATCTCTTTTAAAATTACTTGAATAAAGGAAGTAAATTATAATCGAATTAGTTTCATAAAAATTTCAGATTAAAAAAGTCAGTAGAACTTAATAATTGACTTAATATTTTCATAAAAAAAAATCTCAAGATTCATGCATAAGAAACTACTTGATTCTCCTTTTTGGATACGCTAAGAAATAGCTTTAACAATTCAAAGTGAGAAAGAATAATTCTGTTGAAAAATATTTCATTACCTTTCGTCTCGATTTCCTCAGCTGAGATACGCATAAATTACACAGGATAAAATATCGAAAGACTGCTGATTAAATTTTCAAGCTGTGTTTAAAATTACTTACTTTGATACTGTGGACAGACTACGCGATGGAAAGACAATAAGATTATTTTCGTAACATTGAAACGAACTTTAGTTAGCTTTAGACCCATTCTCACCTGGGTTGCTAATATCGAAGATAACATTAACGTGGTTTCCTGCTGATCCTTGATGATGTCAGCATTCTCATTCATCCCGAAGACACTGGGAGCGGTGGCCATCGGAAAAGACTTAACGTAATCCAGAAACTCGCCGTGGCTCTTGACTTGAGGCACATAATACACGCCACTTGGATCGAACAAGTATCTCTTTTGCGTGATGAGCTCCGGGCAGTAGAATTTCGCCAGGATGGTGATCAAAGTTCTCCTGTCCCATTCGTCTGTCACGCGTCCGCCGTAATTGCATTCGCCTGGGAGACAAATTAATCACGAATCGAGCCATTGCGTGCCCTAAACTTGTTCCCAAATCATTGGAGACGCCATATCACATCGACGCGTTACTAGATTTCAAATTCGTAATCGGGCAACAATTACGATTAACGTTCAGAATGTTACTCGAGACTTTTCTAAATACAGGACTCAAATACAAATAGAATTATTCCATTCGTGTATGAGATAAATTCATTCGAAATTAAGAGCGTCCTAACTTTGTTCCTCGATCATTAGATGTGTCAAATACGAAATAATACACACGTTCGTTGCATTGTACCGATAAGAGGAATAAAATTCTTATTAAGAAGTTCGAACGGAAGCAGATCGGATTAAATTGTGATAAATAAAATAAAATAAATAGTAAGGACCGGCGGAAGATAAGGAAATACAAATCTATGATGAGCCAATATTGAAAGAGATACCTGTTAAGTATTTCAAGGCGGTGAATTGCACATCGTCGTACTGGTCCAAAAAGATTTTCAGCTGCAAAGCGCTGATGCGCAGATCGGTCTCGTTAAACTCGTACTGATTGTTCCATCCAATCGGACCAAACTGCCTTCGTTCCTGGATGATCGCGTGGAAAAAGCACAGCGAGAAGAGTAGCTTCTTGAAAGCCACGCTCTGTTTCGACGTTTCGAAGAAGTCTTCGTTGCATATCGGGTCCTGTAATTTCACAATACACGTTCTTGTTCTACGACTATGTTCGCGGTTACGATTCTATTACCTGTAAGAAGGACCTGATTATATTCGCCCGCAATCCTTTCGGCGGCTCGTTGGTCATTTTGACACCGTTCTGAAGAATGCTGACTGGAAAGTGATCCACGGGATAACTCGTTAGCCATAATCGAAAATCCGGATGCACTGTCTCTGGAGTGAAACTTTCGCAAATCTGAAAAGAATTTTATTGCTTTTATTGCTCTTTATGCTCTTTAAAGCTACGAAACACATAGCAAAGGTAAAAGGAGAGAATCTTCAGTGTCCACTATCTTAGAACAGTCTATTAACGCGTATTAAAAGTACTAAAACTTTAGACGCGTGCAGTTCCGAAGATACTAGTGTTTTATGAATTATCGAGCCACTGTTAGAAGCGGTGAACCTTCCTCTTTAAAATGGTTTTTGGTTTTTAGCGATCCGACTTTCCGTTTTCGAGATATCGTAATTTATGTAAAGGGGTAATTTTCTTAATTCGACTATCTCTGTCTCCGTCTGACGCGTCGCGTCGGGCCTCTCTCTCGCACGTGAGTCGAGACAATCGTGACGCGAAAGTCGTAGTATTTCCAAGAACTTACTACGCACTGTTTACTATTGTCACGCGCGCGAGTTCATTGATCTCAATGAAACGTAAACAAACGCTTCGGACCCTTATATCTCCGTAACTAGCCACCGCATCGCCTTGAAACTAAAATCGCCATATCTTCGGAACTAATAAAGCTATCGACTTGTTCGAACGCTCATTTTAAAGGGCATTTCATCCCCTATCCGGTAACTATATCAACTACTATAATTTATGCTATCTTCTATGTTTATTTTCAAATTTACTTTGACACTATGCACCCAAAGACGTTTCAGCAATCCCTATTGATCATACGACTGGTATGCGATAAAGCTGGATTATAAATTGTTTATTCAATTAAAAATGAATTTAAATTTGTATACAGGATGATTGTGTAATTATTATGCCAGCATGTTTTCGTAAATAATTATTTTCTCCGGAATTTACGGTATCGACTTAAAACAAAATTTGTTTCCAAGTGTGTCTTATTTTCTATACTATAAAAATCAAAACATTTTAACGTAGTTTGTAAACTTTTTGTGTGAAATTAAAATACTAAGTATGCACATTTAGAGTAAAAGTATCAAATATTTTTGTATAGATTTTCAAAATACATAAGCGAAAGATATTTTACGAATAAACTTCAAAGCACAACTATCCATAGATATAATGCAAAAATTAGAAGTAAGTTGCCTCGTAAACGAGAAAAAGAAAGACTGGTCATTTGATTGGTCATGGTACGAATGGGTATACATGAAGTATCAGTAGATTTAGTGTTAAATTTTAGCAAAAAACTTATGGTACGACCTAATAACTGAGGATATCGAAAGAACAACTTTCAGATTAATGGAATCGTGAGATTCGAACGACCCAATGACCTAATGGTACATTTCCTCTCGCACCGTTACGAAGATGTCGTGAATGAGCGAATGTCGTGCATGGAAATTTGTTTTTCTACCTTTTCCAGCTGCGGCATGAAACTCTTGGCGAGGTGACAATTCTGTAGGACTACCCAGGTGCCGTTCTTTATTCCCTCGTCGATCAGTTCCGCGGCAATAACGCCTTGTCCTTGACCCAAAGACAGGGAGAACAGTCTGTTGGTGCCGAAACCTTGGTCGTCGGCAAATTTCAATAGAATCGCCATGGGATCAGCGCCAGGCGTCAAGACGAATATAAGGGGAATGCAGGCGTACGAGTCCGCGAAGGACGATAGCAAATCGAAGGGCGGCGGCTCGATGTACAGGCGTCCCAAATGCACTATCAAAAGAAATAATCCTATCTTTATATATTTTATTAAAATTTTTTCGCAATTTTAAACTTCTCGTAGTATATATTCATAGCTAGACGTCTTAACGTTTCGCGTATTCGACTTTGAATCTAATAAAATTCAGATATTTAAATGTACAAACTATAAAGTTCTATATTTTGCGTCAGCGTAGCCTTTAAGTTACTTGCTTTAACACTAGATTTACGAGCATTGTTCGCACGTATATTTATTGATACCTTTCATGTTAACGATTACCTTACAATACGATTTTTCTTTTAATTAGAATATGTATTTATGCCATTGCATCAATCAAATTCAACATAAGTTGTTAAAAAATAATACTTACGCGTTCTGCAATTTTAAATGTGGAATCAGGCATCCGTCAAATTGACTGTTTCCGTAAATCTAGTGTTAATATTAAGTTGTAAACGCGGCGCGTAATTGCCACGACGATCAACAATAAATGGCCTACCTTCGCAGAATTTCCCTACCTTCCACGAATTGCTGAGCGGCAGGTAAGACTTTGTCAGGACGAATACATCGCAGTACGAGCATTCTCTTAAAAGGGGTAACCGTGTCGTATGGCGCCGGGAAATGTAAAGTATGAGGCTCCATATGATCAAAGACGACCTTCCAAGCGTCTACGTTTTCCACGAAGGAATCTTTGAAGCCCTAAACGCAGGAACGAGAGCCGACAAAGTTTGTATAGACTGTGAGAATGTATTTGTCGAAGCTTTCGCGCATAAATCTACACGCTCGGGTCGTTAGAAATTTCCCAAGGAAACGTATAGGTACTATAATACCCTTTTCTCGCAAAAGGTTCAAAAGATATACTATAAATAGATAGAAAAAGTAAACATGCAAAATGGAAGTCATCCTGAGCCTACTAAGCAAGGATTAACCAAGTAAATAATAATAAAAAATCTCAATCTTTCGACACGTTTAATTCCTTTGTGCTTTTCTCGTATCTATTCGTACCTCAAACTCATGGACCTGGTCCAACCGACATAACTCGTCCCAGGATTTCGGCGGTAACCATTGCGTGGGATTCGCGAAAGGATTCTCGAGGCCTACGCCACCAGTCAACAGAAACATCCATTGGGATATGGAGATTTGCCCCTGTTTGTTCAGCAGATTCACCGAGAGCAGCAGCGAGAACAAAAGCTTGTCTTTCTCGAACAACGAGCGACATATGTTCACGTAGAGCGAGTAAGTGAATTCTCTCGTGAGATCCTTCAATCGTTGCTCTATGTCCTCGACAACTTCCGTGTTATCGATGGTGTTCTTGAAGAGATTCACGAACCAAACCAACGAGTACTGATACATGGGATCGATGTTCGCTAGAACGGCTGTTGAAAATTGGCATTTTAATCGAAACGAACGCTCCTAGTTTCGCCTCCAAATTTATTCGAACGTAATAGGTGTACCGATCGTGAAAAACAGGACCGTGCTGTAGACGGCTATGGGCGTATACTTTAATCTCGCCTCGTCGATAGACATTTCCGTCACCTCGGCCGCTGTTTGCTTCACGATTATCTCGTCGGAAAGAATCTTCGACGAGCTCAGAACACTGATCGCGGTCTCGTCCTCGAGAATGTTCTCCTCGGAGGTCGACAGAACTTTCAAAATGCGATCCTCTATCTCCTTCAGCATCCTACGAAAAAGCATTTGCTAATTAACGTTGCAGAAAACGTACCTGAAACGCGACGCACTTTTTATTGGCGGCTCCTTGGACGATCAACTGATTCTTCTCGGACTCCAAGTCTGGCCTCTCTTTCGCTACGACGATGCCCAGAAGCTGGTCCTCGAGGCCGATAGGGGTGATCATGAAATTTAGCAAAGTCACTTTCACCGCCACTTCCGGCAAATAATGCGGATTCCGTAATTTGGTCGTCATGTAGAATCTATAAAAAGAAAGCAATCCTCCTACAGTCTGGGCTAGGCATCCTTTAACGACGATACGCACCGAAATTTATCGGAATACTGAATGATGGAGTCCCCGATCTTGATGCAAATCGCGCCAGCAGACCTGAACGTCTGTTTCATCAATAGAGGCTCCAAGGCAGCGTCCAGCTCCTCGCCGATGTTCTCCAATAAAACTGGCTGCCCGAACTGAACAGCGTTTTCCAAAACCCTCATGTAATCGGTCTGCGACAACCTGATCACGTTGATGTTTGCCTCCTTCTCCATGTTCTTCACCCACTTGTTTGCTTGGCCCTGAGGGTCGATCATCAGTGGCCATCGTCGGGAATTCGTTACGATTATGCCTGTCGGAATTCAGTCTCGATCGGTAGGAGTCCTTGGACCAGATCATAAATTCTCTAAAAATATTTCTAAAATCCCTTAACGTTACCGTTATCCACAGAGAAAAGATCGCTAGGCAGGCCAAAGATATTCCAAGATCTGATCAGGACAGGATCGCCCAAAACCTGGGTGAGCTGATAGTCCTGAGTGCAGAAGACGTCCAAATCTGTGCATATTTGTACCCAGTTCTCGATCTGTTGCTGCCTGTACTGCGACGTAAACACCCCCAGGTAGGCCACGACGCCGGACCCGATCAGTATGTCGCCTGTCAGCTTGTAATAACGTTCCCCGAGCGACTTGGCCGTGTCCGACCATCTGGTGTATTCCCCGCCCAGGCCTCCGATCAGCTCCCTGGCTCTTCTTAGTTTCTCCTTGCACTCCGTCACCTCGTCCGTCATCGCCTGGTAATCGACCCTCCGCTGCGCCAACAGTTCCTCCAGCTCCGCCAGCCTGTCCCGAACCTCCTGCAGCTGAAGCCTCTTCAGGTTCAGTTGTTCCATCGCCTTGGAATAATCGGACTCCGCCTTGGCCAGGGCCTGTTTCTTGGGCGCCACGATCTTCGCCACGATGTCGTACTCCGACAACGCGAACACCCATCTGCAGAGACCCTCGCAGGCCGTGGACACGTGTCTGATCCTCTCCGGATCGAAGTCCGGGTTCGTCAGAATCGTCGTGCGAATCTTTGTCATGATTCTTTCCGGTATGTTGTCTTTGTCGAACGTCAACAGCGACTCGAGGAACCTCATGTCGCTCAACATACGAAGAGAAGCCTTCCAGTAGTCCTCCACCGTGCCTGTCGGGGTTTGGACCTTCTCTGGTTTCACGTCCTGCGAGGATAAGGCCCTGGTCGTAGCTTATTTTGTTTGGTTAATAACTTTATTAAGCGAGGGACAAACGCAAATGTAGGGTTTATCAATGAGAGAAGATTTTATTTTGTAATCGAAGAGGGTACCTTTAGAATGCAAACTGCTGCCATGACTAGTCGTACGCCAGACGGTGGTCGTTTCATGGATCTTACTATTTGAATGTCTTGGGGGGTTAATGTGTTCAATGCGGCGTTCGCAGCATTCAATATTGGCATCACTTCTTGCAAGTCGGCGTCACATTCCGTACGAATAGCTTCGGCTTCCCCTGCAACGACCTGAAACCCCCAGCAAAAACTACGTTGAGTTCTGCTCGTTTGGATCATTTTAGACTCGAGACTGTGCAGAGATTTCTATGCGTAAATATACTTATTTTTAGCAAAATTGATACTCGTTACGAAGTGCTTCTGTCCCATTACTTTCATTCAAGTCTATACACCAGGTTTTGATTAAATTTGCGGCAAAACAAAAATGGCAATTTTTACTCCTCGGGAAGGAGTGACTCCTCCGTTTTTATTCCCTTTTTCGGTGCTTCAAAGGTAACTCCTTCAAGCAAACACATAATGTCCGAATCTCATTAACGTCAACGCGACTCAAAGCGAACCCAACGAAGTATATCCGGAAAAGAAACTAGAAAACGCAAAAAAAAAAAAGAAAAGAAGCGTCGAGTGCCATTTACAAAACCGAGACTCTCCCGAATAAAATCGACTTTGATCATCAAACCGGCAACGCCTTACCATGGCGGCCTCCTCGTCGCTTTTCACAACTTGCTCGATGGCGACGGCTTCGTCGTTCTGTCTTTGAACGTCGAGGAACATAGCCTCCACGTCTTTGGCGGCGACGAGGAGCTTCGGTTGCAGCGCAACTAAAATCTCTTGCATCTTCTCCACTTGCTTGTGAGTACTGTCCAACCTTTCCAGGCCGGCCTCGTACCGTTTCTTGCCATCGAGCGCCTCGTTTCTTTTTTTCTCGAGCAGGTCCTTGAATGTGTTGATGAGCTCGAGATACGAGGTGGGCGTGACGTAGCTGTACCTCTTCGCGCGCTTTATGAACTCCTGCGACAGGTCCTGCGTGGACGTATGAAAGTACTGGCACATCTCGATGCACGCGTCGCGTTCCTTCTTCGTCAGATCGATCTCGCCGAGGAACTTGGTCGCTACGGCGAGCAGAGCGTCTTCGGGCCAGGACTGCAGCCAATCTATCGTGCAGCAGTTCACCAGGGCTGGAAACTTTCGTATCCTCGCGCGAAAATTGTCGCCGATGGGCGACATGGTCACCACCACGTGCAAGTGTTCGCGAACCGTCTGCACGAAGAAATTGAACAACGCCACGGGACTGCCGTCCGTCTGCACCGACCTGTCCCTCTGTCGATCGATCACCCTCATCTTCTCGCAGATATCGGTCATCTCGTCGGCGGGGAATATATTCGGGACCTCGCCGGAGTTCAGCAGGTTGCTGATATCCTCAAGGAACGTTTCCTCCTTGATCTGACTGTCCAAAAATAAAAACACTGTGTGCAGATCGCTGGATGCGCTCTTCCTCAGGATGTTCTTCACGTCCTCGTGCCATTCGTAGAGACCGTACTGCTGGGACATCTCCACCTGGAACAGTTCGTAGTCCGCGATGTGGGCCGCCAGTTTCGTCAGAGATTGGCGTCCGGAACCACCGACGCCGATCAACAACACGTGACTTCGCGGTTGCATCATCACGCGACAGATCCTCGAGAGATGTTCCACGGCGAATCTGACGGGGACGAAATAAAATTTATATTCCATTTGAATCGATGCGTATTAGGAATAGAGGCGATACTGAAACCTGAAGAGGACAAGGTCCATCGGTGTTCTCGAAATTGAATTGTACTCGGCGAGGTACTCTTCGACGGTGACTGTAAGGTTGTCCAAATTGGCGACTTCCGTGTACAGTTTCTTATCGGCCAGAGGATCTTGGAAGTCGCAGTAGATCAGATTTCGAAGCTCGATGTACGTCACCTAATAATAATTCGAGACTACGATTTGATGGAATTCTGGGGATACGTCAGCATCGATGAGTCGAAATCGGATGGAAACGATGGCGTACCGAACCCTTCGAACCTGTGATCAAATCTTCGAACATCTGATTCAAGTCGTCGTCCATATGCGCGGACACGGTCGATCGTATCTGTTCAACGAGCCAATTTATATCCGTATCATCGACCAGGCGATCCCCGTACACGCGGAGGACCTCGTGCACCCATAAACGCTTCATGCCCATCTTAAAAAAATTAATATTTCTATGTAATTATTTATTTATTACAAGGAATACGATAGGAAGCGTGAGTATATATATTTCTGTGTAAATAATCTGTTCAAAAGAGCCACAACACCGTTGCTAAGTTTGATTCTGTCTGTACAGATAAAAAATATAGACGTAATTATAAAACAATCGCAGTGAATATTCTGTTGTAAAACCTAACTTCGATAACGAAGAGCATCGATACCAAACGGAGCGAGCGAGATCTAAAAGAAGAAAAGGAGGACATCGATGCGTACAGAGTCATTGACCGTTTCAGGCGTGGATAGCAGCACACCCTGGATCACCCTCGAGAAATCTCGCAAGTTGAACAAGTAGTGGCACTTGGCTGGAGTGGGTAAAAGGTGCTGCCTAGTTTCTTTGTAAACGTCCAGCGTGCCGTCGACGACGTACCCGATGCAGGGCAAGAAAATGTGGGGAAATTCCCTCCTCTCGAGGTGCCAGGACACTATGGTGCTGAAAATGGTGGACAGGACGTCGTCCGAGAATTCCGAGATGCCCAGAGTGAAGAAGTGCCTTTTGAACCTCGGCGTGACGTCCAGACCGCCGGATGGCGGATTCATCGCGCAAACCAATTGCACGTCCACCAATTCTATGGGTTCCATTTCCTTCAGATCGTACCAGGTCCAATGGTCCAGCCACTGTCTCAGCAGCTCTATGGGCGGCTGTGCGCCGAATTCCTCTTTCTGCGGCATGGACAGATCGTCCACGAACACCACCCAATGTTTACCAGGCGGGGCTCCGTAAAGTCCCTTCTTCCTCCTGTCCAGTTTGCTCATGATGATCTCTTGGGTCTGATTGGCGGAGGTTTGAGCCGAGAATATCACGAACATCGGTTTGAAAGTCTCCGGGTCGTTCTTCAACAAGAACTCCATGATATACACGGACTTGCCCGTCCCGGTAGGACCAACCACGAGCACCGGTTTGTGGTGACAAATCAGAAGCTTGAACAGATGAAAGTAACGAACGGTCTCGATCGTCGGGACAATTATTTGATTCACCGGCATGTCGCTCGGAATCGTCGGGACGTCTTTCAAATCCTCGATCCACAGCCGCCATCTGCCTCTGCCCTCTTTGATGTACTTGTAATCGAAAACCAGGCCAGTTATCGGCAAATTCACCACGTACGGTTTCGATGGGTTCGTGGTATCCTCGGAAATATCGAAACGTTCCCTGACATCCTCGGGAAACTCTCTCTCTGTCAGGGCTCTGAAAAGTTCGCTGAACGATTCTCGAGAGTCGACCATCAACGTTCCACCGATGGCCCAAATGCAGGAAAAGAAGAAGCAACCCTGAAACGCGAACATTGTTGTAGAGTCTTTGGGTTTGATAAATAGTATCTGTGACGATATGATTGATGATGACCTCCACTTGCGCTCTCATATCCAGGTCGGATAATGTTTGGAGATATTTCTCGTCGTGAAAGTCGTCGAGGAAACAGTCGAACAGATACATCACGGATCTCACCAGATTAGCGTCAGGCATCGTTATCAAATCCTAGGAGAGGAACGAATATTAGGAGGAATCGATATATTTTAATTTTTTGTTTAAATTAGTTTCATAAAAGGTATCTCTTGAACCTGAACGTCCCCTCTGCGAACCAAATACAAAAGGGGTGGACAGAACCTCGTATACATATCGTGCAAGTGATGTTTAATGTGTTCTGTAAAAGTAGCCGGCAACGTGTTCATCCAAGAGATCAAAAGCGGTGACCATCCCAAGCTGACTGGTTCCATGTAAATCATGCCACATCTCGACACTGTGGCGGGCGATGCGACCTGTTGTTGCATGGGTAAATTATGATTGAACAAACAACTTAAAGCCACCTAAATGACCATCGTATAAAATAAGAAGCGATAAAAAATTTCAGAGTCACAATTTTGAATTTAATAAAAGGTTTTTTTCGTTTACTTTATACGTAATAGGTGTCCTTTCGTTTTTTACGACGCGAGAGTTGCTCGGATGGCCCATTTTTAATACAAAAGAAAATCGATATTTCCCAAAGTCGACGCTCACAGAGCAGCTTGATCGCCTTAAATAACGCCATTTTGCTCTCGTATGAAGCTTTTAGATAATACCGACGGATATGTGAATAAACATAATATAATAACCACAGACGATAATTTTTAGAACATTCTTAGTATTTCTAAATATTCTTTACTAAAATACGCGTTGTTTGCATCTTGAAACATTGAAATTATCTAATCTGTTTAGAAGTTATGATGTTTTGGACATACGGATGCAGGAAAATATTTCTGATCACACATATTTTCGATAAAGAATTTTTTTCTCGAAAGTACGCAGGAATTCGGAGGTATGTGTATTCACCAAAAATGATTGTAATTGACCCCCACAACCGAAAATAATTTTTTCAAAATTATTTGAAATTTTTAAAATCATTCCTTATCATCCCTATGCTGAAAGATCGCGAAGTTCTGTACCTCCAGGTCCATAGGCTCGTAAATGAGATTGGTCGTGGGCGCCAGTTGGATAATCTCCCCCGAAGTCAGGCAAAGCTTTTTATTGTCGTCCAATACAGTGTTCATGTTCTCGATCCAAAGGGCGTCGACGGGTCCGTCGAAAACTAGCCACTTTCTATTCGGATTGGTGGACGTCGCGAAGGCTCTGTAGCTGACAGCGAGTATACCGTCGCTCCATTCGTGCGAGGCCGGGTCGAATTGCCCGTATAATTGGCCCATGGTGATCGCCTTAGGATTAATAACCGTTATCTCCACCCGGTGTTCGTCCATCAATTTGCGGTCCTCCAGCAGGCCGAGGCAACTGGCTAGCATCCTGTACGCGGACGTCTTGCCGCCAAACGGCAGCCCCACGATCATAAAGCCGTGCCTGACGATCATCATCTCGTATATCTGTTGTATCTTCTGCAAAAAGAAATCGGTGCACTGGATGTTCGCCTCCGTGCACGCGTCCATCGTGCAAGCGTTCAGGTGAGTATAATCGGGCGGCGGAAGAACGACGCCGGGGAACAGATCCGAGGCGATACCCTCGAACAAAGGTAGATCGTGTACGAGAAATTTCGGCAGGTTGACGTCCAGTATGCTCCTAAGCATCAGTATGTCCTCGGACTCGTCCGGATACCTGAGCTTCAGGTTCCCAGCGGCGACCAGGACGGATTTTACGGCTCTCATACCGTAATCGTAATGGTTATGGCTGCTCAGTTGTTCCGAGCAGAGCTTGTATGCGGTGACGATCTTCACGGCCAGCGGTCGGCCGGTGTAGAAACCGTACGAGTAGAGAGTGTTTTCCGCGATCAGCGCGTAATCGGGCACCATCATGGCGACGGGACGGAACAACGCCTTCAGATTGTCCGGTAACTCAGATCTGCCGGCGTAACCGGGATTCATCGTGATGAAGATGGCGCAGGTCGGGTCCAGGAAGATCTCCGTCCCCTCGAAAACCATCTTCTCGGCGCCGCTGTTTATCGCCCGCTGAATCGTCAATATCTGTTGAGCTACCACCGACAGGACCTCCAGGTCGATTCTGTTGAACTCGTCGAAGCAGGACCAGGCGCCGCAAGACGCTAAACCTTTGAAGAATTTGCCCAAAGCCAAGTAGTCCAATCCCTCGGAGCAGTTGAAGACTACGCATTGTTTGGCTACTGCTTTTGCCAGGTCCTTGGTGGTCTCCGTTTTACCAGTTCCGGCTGGTCCCTCCGGTGCACCGCCCAGATGAAGACTCAGAGCGCCGAAGAGGGTGCGATAGCAACGGTCCGTCAGTGGTGTGATCACCAGTCTCGAAGAATTGCCAAGGTACTCGTAACCGTACCGCTGATGCGAGTTGATCATGTAAGCCCACATGTTTTCTTCCTGGAAGAAAAACACTCGTTAAAGTAAATGTTCATAGAGACCTACGTCATTGGTAAATTGATTTCCAAAAAGTTGTTTCGACATTCTCCTTTATGCTATAATTTTCCTTGTTCAAACTCGTGACAACGAACGGTGGAAGAATAAATAATAATAATTGTCTGAAGAAGCATTCTAACCAGCCAATAGTATCGTAGGTGGCACAGCCATCTGAAGTCGGTGTTTTTGATCACTTTCTCTAAGCAAAGTTCTTCGAGTACGTCTTTCCCGTGTACGTCCAGCGTGACGAGAGCCTCTGAAATTCGGGACGCATAATTGATTCTCGATATTCTGACGTACCGCAGTTAAATACGTTTAATAATCACCTAAGGTAATACGATTCTGCTTCGAGAGTTTGCCTCTAACGATTAATATAATGTCGTTCAGTTCTTGCTGGCACTGGTCCAAGTATTTATTCATACCCTGGATACCATGCAACATCGACTCCTCTATACGTAGGGTCCAATACGTCTTGCCAACGCAGAGGATCGTTTGTCCAGGCCACTCGAGCACCCAGACTTTCCTGGGTTTGGTAGGATACGCCTGTATCGCCTGGTCCACCACATGCCGCACACTTCGACGCATAATTGCTTCCAGTTCGATGAGCCACTTCTCCACTTGTCCTCTGGCGGCTGAAGTGGATATTATGTCCACCAGGTCCACCTCTTCGTCCTCTGTGGACGTCATCCCGAGCACTTCGAGATCCTCGTTGAACTTCAGTCTGTGTATACCTTCGAAGCACTTCTTCAGATGCGGTTGAACGCTGTAACGCCCGGTTACGAATCCATAAATCACGATTTATCGATTATCGATCCGGGTCGGTTCTGACCCCGCGGGAAAACTACTTCCGTGCGCGTTGGAATCATTAATACGTATCGGTCATTATCAATTAAAAACCGTTTCTAATTTAATAACCATTCTGAACCTGTGTAGAATCTATATAGAATTGAAATAGAATATCTTCGTAACAGTTCTGTAAAGATTCTGTTGTACGTAAAAATTTGAAAAAGTTAAACGAAGGGTAGGAAGGGAGAGGGATTATGACTGAAATTACAATTTAAACGCACAGTCAGCTCCGAGATAAAAGTCTGAATTACCGAGTCGGATCCTTGGTCTCGGATAGAATTTCCAGCAACTCGTCGTTGGAGAGGAAGAAGAACCTCGGGAAGAAGAGTCGTTTCTTCTCGAGGTAATCGTTCAAGCCTTTCTGAATGTCTTCTAGCAAACCATAACTCTTCTTCAGCCTCTCCAGCATTTTATCGATCTCGATGACGGATAGAACGCGAGGATCCACGTGGACGGTCTTCATGATGTCGCGCCAAGCTTTGTCAACGGCGGAGAACTTCCTGCCCTCGTCTGGCATTTGCTGTTGGATATCCGGTGACGTGAATATCGGCTCCAAGTACATCCAGATCGCCTGTACCCGTAGCCACTGGTCCAGAATGTCTTGCAGTACGTACAGTTTATGCTCCCATATCCTATTTATTTCATGGAAAATTTCAGATCATTCTTCCAATGTTAACAGGTACCTAGTCGTACATTTTAGTGCAAGTTCGAGCATCGTCAAAGATATAAAGACCATGATCGTTTTTGACTAACCAGAAATTGTATTGATAAATTAATAATCTTAAAATTTTATTTATAGGGATTTTATATGCAATACCCGTATTAAATAATTTTAAAATAAAAACTAGAAAATTTTATTCATGATATGTTTTTTTTCATTTGTTTGAATTTAATATTCAGTCGTACGACTCGAAATAAAATCATAGAAATATACAAAATTTCAACGATGTTTCGGTTATAGAGGGTGTTTCAGATTTAAACTTTCATTTTATATATATCTGTATATCTTTGGACCCCTAAAAGTCAAAGTAAGAATAAAAATAAACGGAATAGAATTTCTAAATGGACATACTCCGATGTATCGCTTTTGCTTACAGTATTCTTTGCTCGAACGGTTTTATGTTGGGCGAATTCTTTATAGTAACCGTCCTGATGATATGATCGTCCAAAAGTAGCTGTATATCGTCGACGCCCGCAATGACGTAAGTGCCAGTATCTTTGAAAGGGTTCACTGTAAAGGTCAACTCGGCCCAATCCTCTTGCATCTTGTCGATAGCCTTCTCCAGAGTGTTCTCCTTCGACGCGTTGTCCGAAATACCCGTGAACTTCTCAACGAACCCTTCGAGGCCCATAGACAGAACCTTGGCCAACGTTAAATCGGCATCCACTTTCATGGGAATGCCGATAATCTCCGAAATTTGCTCCCAATGGCGGGCCTTTAATCCCGGATTGCCCAATGTGGCCACGATAGGCATGCATTCGGTGAATTCTTCGATTTTCTCGCGCACGCTGATCGCCAGGTTCTTCAGATCTGGCTCTTGGAACGACTTCTCCAGCTTGTAGATCGTTCTGATCGTTTGAACAAATTTTATTAATCGCTCGTCGAACGTAAATTTTATTCTACAACATCCACTAGGTCTTCCTAGTAGACTATCTCTTCCTAAACACGAATACTAAAGCAGAATTGCTGTGTCGCTCTTATCGTTAGTTTTTAAGAAAGGCAAATTTGCATAAACGAACACGACAAGAAAATTAAAACTAGTACTAGTTCTGTAATCTAATTAAAATTCATGAACCCTATTCAGATTTATTATCTTCAATTAATCGCCGTATGGATGATATGGCCAGTCAAAGTGTTAAAAAGAAATCTGGAGTCTTTAGACTCGATGAAAGCCTTGACCGCCCCTTTGATCTCTTCTCCACTGAGAAAATGTTTCCCCTTTAAGAAGATGTCTAGGTGTTTGAAGAAATAATAATCTGTAGGAGATAAGTCTGCTGAATATGGTGGATGCTGTAGAATCTCATAGTTTAAATCAAGTATGAAGTCTTGAATTATCGTGTAACAGGATAGATCCCCGACTGTCAACGAATATACAAATAATGTCGTACGTCGAGGACTCCCGAGGATAAAAATTGCAACGCAGTAAATCTATCGACCTGTACGCGTATCCCACGTCGTTCTCGATTTCCTCGGGATCGAAGCTGCCGACCATCGAGTTCATCCACTTGTCGTGTTTGGTCAAGAAATCGCAGATAGCGTCGAAAAGCTGTTTGAAGGGTTTCAGCTGATCCGCGATCTGCTTGCGACGTGGATATTGCGTGATATCCCAGTCGAACGCAACCTCCTCTTCGTTAAACTTATCGATCTTCTCCATGGCAGCGATCAGCCTATTCTCCAGATTCTGAGTCCTCCTCTGATACTTGAACACCTCCGTGATGTCCCCCCAATATTGTATCTCGTCGACTTGTTTCGCATAGGAATCCAATTCGTCCTCGAACTTCTGGTACCTAACTGTTAAGACAAGACTCATAGATCGCGTCGTTCGAACGTATGACTGATAAGGGAACAGCCTTGAACGATAATGTTCGATTTTTACGAAACGGTAAAACCGTCCCCCAAAATCGGGGGTGGAAAAGATATTTAAATATAAACAGAATATCAAACATTCTCCATTTTCTTCGAACAATTTATAGAATAGCCAAGAATGTTTGACAAGTATTTGTTTTTCTTTACCAAAGGTGTTTCCATGTTAAAGCAGTGGAAAAGTATATAATCAGAATATTAAACATTCGATTATCTTTTTTCCAATAGCAAACCTCTTAGTGCCTCCTGAAACTCTATGGTCTTGTTCGCCACGATGACCTCGTACTCCTCCAAGACTTGAGGTATTCTGTGGTACCACTGAAACGCTGTGTTGGTGACGTTTATCTCGGTGTCGGTGAAAATGTAATAGTCGGACAACAAGAGAATGTGCTCGATTATTGTGTAAAGCTGATGCTCCAGATCCTTCAGAGAACCGTCCACGGCTCTTCTAACGAAACTTATCAGATCCATCAAGGCGGCCGTGTCGGCAGGCGTGTCCAGGGCACGATCAGTTATAGCTTGGTATTCCTCCGCGGCTCTGAATCAACTTTTTGCTATCCGATCAATTTTCTCTTGGATAATTTTATCGATACTCGGTTAAGGTAACAGGAGACTCACTTTCTCGCAGCGTTCTGGTACCTATTCACGAGGGTGTCGGTGAGGAGACATTTTATACGACCGACATTGTTGACAATCGTCTCGATGAACGTCTTTCGAGACAGTTTGAAGAAGCCGGTGAACTCTGTCCTGTCGATGTCCACCGGAATATTCACCATAAGATCGTGATAAAATTTTATCATTCCGTCGTATTCCTCAAGAGTTTTACTCTCGTCTTTTACGAACTGTTCCACCGTTTGGTACTCCTGGTTGTTGTACAAACGCTCGTGTCTGCAACGAAGAACACGATTCACGACTGAAAGAAAAATAGTGATCGAAGGAACCGATGTTTAATAGTCACGTTCGCAGCTCGTTCAACAACTTCTCGGGAATCAGCCTTTCCTGATCGATCAGATCAATAATTTCCTGTTTGTACGCGTTTACTTTGGCTTCGTCAATCTGTGGCTGTAGACAACGAAATTAAAACTTATCGTCTAATCGAATTCCTGAAGAAAATTATTTTTTACAATACTTTCAGAATTTCTAACGGGCCGGACCAATCCAGATAGAGCTGCGTTTCCAGTTTCGTGAATTTTTTAACCGCCTCGCATATACTGTCCAAAATGCTGCAAAGTACATTCTTAAATTCGTCGAAGGATGGATCGAAAATGAGCTGCTCGGAACTGACGATTATGTGCACGTTAAACTCCCGCATGGCAAGCTGTAAAAGAATGATTACTACGTCGTTCCTACTATTTGCCTCTTGTAGGACGTTTTAAAATAATGCACCTGATCACGAATAGTCAAATCCATAAAATCTGTCAGACTATGTTTGCAGACAGACAGAAGCTGCCCTTCCATTATTTTCGCAGCGCACTCGAAGAATCTTTTAAATCGCGTACGCTGCAAGGGACTCGGAACTAAATTCTTCCTGTTATTCTGCAAAAGTTGATTCCGAATTTAGGGTGTAAGTAATATTATCTAATGCTAATTTAGATGAAAAGTGAACGATCGTTGATCCTTTACCACAAGAAATATATCTTGTATTCCACTGTACCAAGTATTCTTCAGTGCGTTTCTCTCCTTATTAATTTGACGAAGAAGAGTATTTGCAAACACCGTCAAATCCCAGCTCTCTTCGTACTCCGCGATTTGCTTCAGGTCGATAAGCCGGAAATTTCTGAAAGAAGACCCGTCGATCGATCAAGATGAGACTATTGCGCCGCGAACGAGCAATTCCGTACCGAAATTTGCAAACCCATTGTTCCAAAGTCATCGTCATGCATGGGTTTATCAAATACAAATTGTTCCGCAAAGTTTCACGGTACTCCCAGACCTGACCCACTAAAGTCGGCAGCAGTCTAGTTTCTTGCTCCTACAGAAATTTGAAACGCTTCCATGAAATAAGAATTGCTATACATAATCGCGTACAGCTAACGCGGAAGGTACACAATTTATGTTTCATAAATATCAATAAACACGATAGACGGAACATTCTATACATATAGAGGATTAATTTTTGTACCGCCTGAAATAAATGTTCATTGAAACGATCTTGAAGCGCGAATTCCAATATTGCTCTTTTAATATTCGTCGTGAATGTGTCTTTGATCTCGACCAGCAGATCTTCCGTGCAATAATTGAATCGATCTTGCAAACTATACGGGACCAAATTTAATATCTTCTCAACGACGTCGTCTTGAATCTGTACCGCGTGAAAAGTATCGACCCCGTTGCAAATATAATTATAATAACGATTTACGTCTTGATCCGTATTTAAATCTATATTCGCTTGCGATAACTCTGGTTTTACGACTAGGCCTGCCACGAACCTGTAAATAAAGTCAGCAATCATTACTTCTCAGAAATTCTATTTTAATTATATTTTTATAATTTCAAACTTCCTTTCGTCAGTTAAATATCAACGAAACAAAGTAGAAAATTCGCGCGTTTTCCTGACCTACGGAAATATTCAGTTTTCAATCGTTTTCTGGTATATGTATTCATGTATTTCCATTGTTTTCGTTTTTCGTGTTTCCTTTTGCATCTAACACATTCCATTAATTCTGGAGGTAACGCAAATAACGGCTCGATCTTCGATTCGATCACTTTAGATATTTCTGGGATATCTTTGGCGGGCTCCTTTTGAATCGCCGAGCGCGAAATGCCCTCGCATGATATCACTTCCTCGCAATCGCATTTCATGTTGAATCTACTTATCGTAGCAACGTCTCGGAAGGCAAAGAATTATTTTACGCCTGAAATAAAATATATGAGCTACATAAACCCACCGTTCAAGCACCAGCGTAAAATTTAAATTCAAACTATAAATAAATAATCGATTACAAATCACAATTCGATAAAATGCAACATACTTTGATTTGAAAAATATCGATGATGCTCCGATTACCTTATGATCGAATGTTATATCGTTGCAGACGGCGCTACTTTCGGAATAGGTCTTGGTTTATCAATTGTTACGAGTCCCTGTTTTTTAAACTCTGTACAGGGTAAGTATTTCACAAGAGAAGTTTTTTTTCGGTCTTGAGAGTGTTACTTAAAAGATCACTGTACAGTATTTTTAAAAAACAATGTCTTTAAAATTTAATTTCCATATGATTACCACCATCAAATCACGAATGGAATGACACTAGCTACAGCTATTGACTATAGTTTCTAGGCAACGAAATTGATTGATTTCCTCAAATTTGTGGGATTTTCGAATAATAAGCTTCTAATAAAATAATACTGTTTCAATATCGTTACGTCGTAATAATATACGAATCGAAATGATGTTTAGACATTTTTAGGTTAAGTCTCTTCAAGATTTTAAAGTCTTTTCAACTTATTTTCACATAAAGTGAGACAACCAGTGACATATTTCAGATGATTGCACGTCAGTTTTTTCGTTCCATACACACAAATTACATACTTTGTCATTCATCAAAGAAAATATTATTGGCCAAATTGCGTAAGAAGACTGGATATACGTTTATAAACTGTAAGAAAGCATTAGAGCTACATGACAATGATGTTGAAAAAGTAAGAAACTTGCGGATGTATAAACTCTGTAAGATTATTATTAATTTTTTGTACATTCTAGGCTGAACTATGGCTAAAAGAACAAGCTCAGGCTCAAGGCTGGGATCGGGCAATAAAATTACAATCCAGGACAACTACTCAGGGTTTAATAGCGATGATCACAAATAACAATTCTGGAGCTCTTGTGGAAATAAATTGCGAAACAGACTTTGTTGCAAGAAACAAAAAGTTTCTCGATTTAGCAGAAATTGTGCTTTCTACTGTGTTAAATCATGGAATGTCAATTGAACAAAATGCAATCATCGGTAAAACCATATTATATACAGAATCTATAAATTCCTTGTCTGCTAAGGATGGCAAAAGTTTAGCCGATCATTCTGCTTTAACCATTGGAAGTATTGGTGAAAACATTAACATAAAACGAGCTTTATGTATGAACGTACAACCTGGTGTGTATTTGTATGGTTGTACACACCCCTCCCCACTAAATCCAGTTCCATCATCTTTTGGACGATACGGTGCACTAGTGGCTATTAAGTCTAAAGAAAAGAGTAACATGTTGGGAATGCAATTATGCCAACATATTATTGGTAAATTATATTCATTTATAGTCACATACTACGATACAGTAGTGCCCACTTAAGTGACCGCGGTTATCCCACCAATTCTTAGAAACCAAGCGGCTTCGAACATCGAGCGTGTCGAGCATAACTTGACGCCGGTCGTTATCGATACATTGTATATATACTTATCCTCTTTTCTCATCTCCGTTGAATTCCGAGAAGTAACCATGCCCACATAAATGACCGTGGTCGATCCCGAGCGTGGTCACTTATGTGGACACTACTGTAGTTCCTGAAAAAAATGTATCCCTTAAATGATAATATGTATTTTGATACTAGGTATGAATCCAGTCAAAATTGGAGATCCAAACATTGATGAACCTAGCGATGATGTAGATGACGAATCTGTTATGCTGTATCAAGAATTTTTGCTTGATCCTAATGTGTCTGTACAACAGTTTTTACAAAGCGAAGAACTCGAAATAATGGATTTTGCACGTTTCGAAATGGGTGAAAATATTGAAAGAGACGAAACATTAGATTCTTTAGAAACTTGTGGTTAAGATAAAGAATTATTTTGGCTCAATAAAAACAATGTATATGAATTTCATTATACACCACTTTTGTTCACGCTTCGAACAATAATATTATTTAGATGCTATCAAAATTGTACAAATCTTTTATTTAAATACTAAAATTACTGCATTTCGTTATTACGAGCGACAAGTCACATTAAAATCAAAACATAGTATGAAATTTAAAAGATCTTGTTTACAGATTTTACTTATGATCTGACACAATGTATATATATCGAAAAATAGATTCAATTTAAAATAGCAATACGAACAATAAATGCAACAATCTAAATGTATAGAACTTTACGTCTGAAATTCTGGATGACGTTCAAATTATTGTTTTTCTTCATTTTCATCGTTTACCGCGCCCGTATTACTCGAAGACTTAGACTTATTCCTTTTTCGCCTAAGCTGAACAGATTTCCAAAGCCACATTCGCGAATCTTTTTTCCAGTAACGAGCAATATCCTCCGGTGGGTGTCTAACGCCCTGAAATAATCGTTCATTACCGATTTTGAAAATATTTGAAAATGTGCAAATTGTACTTGAAAATTCAAAATATCAAAATTTTGAAGAACTTGTCGACAAGGTAAAATCTCTCTAGCGTTAAAATCGTATAATTCTTGTTTGATATCATCCAATGGTTCGGTCTGAGCATCGCTCGTTCGTCGAAGCGGTATCGCTTCATTTCTACATTCAACTTCCGCTTCTAATTCCAAGCATTCGAGGGCCGATGTAAAGCTCCTTGATTCTTTACAATTATCGAAATTCGCCTAGTTTTTAAATTATCAACTTAAACAAATAATAAAGATTTAATAACAAATAACTTATAACAAATGAACCTGTATCCCTTGCGAGCAAACATTGCATCCAACGGCATTCGACAAACTTATATCACTCTTAGTCTTCGTCAAAAGATTTTCCTCGTCCCACGTAAAATTTTCAACTGTCCATGGAAAAAGAAAAAATTGTGATCAATTAAATGAAATGGCCCGCAGTGCACGAAAAAAACAGACACAAACCGCTAGAATGATCAGACTCGTCGTTTCTCCAGTCCATTAGCTTCTCTCTGTGCCATATAAAAATTACATAAAAAATTTCAAAATCAATTGACAGATACTGACTTCATTCCTTTTCATACGCAACAAAAAAGAAGACATCCTCGAGCAACAGCTTTCGTTTAGCTGTTCACACATATCTTTTGAAATTTCTCCTCGATTCTAACAATGGAACTATGCTCACGCTGTCTATAGTGCGTTTAAACTGAAAGTACTTATTGCAAGCAAACAGAGTTAAAAAAAAAAAAAGAGGGAACGTTCGTATATTTTATAAGGTATACGAAGACTCGAGTAAAATTTTGTAAAGTGAACACCTGAATGTTACGTTTGTAATAAATAAATAATACGATGGTCGATGAGCGCGTTCCTAGGTAAATGCTCTTAATCTTTTACGGCACGGTAGACGGCCGTAATCGTGATCGTTATATTGGCATCCGTTATTCGAGCGAGAACAACCGATGAAGAAGTGAAGAAAAACGAAAAGGATTGGATAGGGGACCTTCGTGACGCAGGATAATGTTAGAAAGGTACAGAACAGGTGCGCTCGAGCGAGATGCGTATACCATAGAACCGATGCCCGCATGGCTCACCGTGTATTCACAAAGTACCCGTCGGTCACGGGTGGCCGCCCGGGGTTCCGGGCCCACTTCCGGACGAGTCCGCACCGGTACGGTTTCTTTTTAGTCAGGAACGCATGGTATCAGTTGTGTTCGCGTACAGTTAGACGGTGTTACTTCGTGCCAAACGCCTCCTCCTGCTCCTTCGCGCATATCGCCACGGAATCGTTCGTACGTTCCTTTAAATGACTTAAAGAAACGACGGGGAAGGAAAAATCATGGATTTCTCTAGACGGGTGAGTCCACAGAGAACTGCGTGGGTACGTGAAACCAGTGAATGAGATAGGCGATAGAACAGAGCCACATAGATGAACATACCGATAAAAGCGATTAATCTTTCCTTTATTATTTATAATCGGAATTCATTTCAAAACGAGATCAGGTAATGAATTTCGTTCCCGTCGAGCATGTAAAAAGTTTCGGCGACCTGTTCTATTCACGCTTCGTAAATTTAATATGCTATTTTTTACTCATTACAAAGCACAGTTTTTAGCCGTTGTACGCGTTTCAAATATATTCCCCTTGAGATTTATATCCCCGGACAGTATTGTGCAATTTGTTGCAGCCGATAGCGCCGCAGAGGCGGAAGTTAACAGGCGTTGGTTTAAAAATATGTATCCGCGTTACCATTTGTATCGGTGGCAGTATTTCTGTTACCTTTTGTAAACAAAGAGATCAAGTAAAATGATATATTTTTATTTAAAATAGCGTGAAATTTATTTAAAATTGTCAGAGCTATTACCATTTTTGTACACCGACAATTCGTAATCACATACTGATTTGGTATAACTGATTCCACTAAACTGTACAATGTTCTATATTACCTTGTTTTCTTTAACGGGAGTTTAACTGGTCAATCTTACGTCAATTTCTTGAGTAGAGTCGTTTGAATTATTAAAAAAAAAAATTCCATTACGATGTGTATTGCATGTAATTTACGCATGACGGTGCATCGTCCTATATAGCCGTCTAGCCAGACAGTTCTTCGACGAGCGATCCATCCAACAGATGCATAGATTCTTTAATTCTCAGATCTTTGAGAGAACAAAATTAAAATAAAAATATCTCCTAAATTAATGATTTTTTAACATAAATAGATTCACGGTTTTTTGTGAAGAATATCAAGGTGCATCGATTGATGTAATAAAAAATATATAATTTCGTTTAAAAAAACGTTAATGACCTTCGTGTGTTCTTTACGCGTCCACCTACAAAAAACAGAACCAATGTCATCAGAATGCGGGGGTCCAAGTTCTCTGCTAAAATGGAAGGGAGAACCGCGTAAAATTTCCACGAATTTTCACCTCTCTCGCGAAACCGTTCGCGTAAGATCGACGTAGAGAAGTGGGCGTGCAGCAAGTGCAGTCACCGCTTCCTGCCGCGAATGATCGACGCGGGCGACGCTTCAACAGCACGTGTACACGCGTACCGGTGTACATACGTGTACCCAAAGCCAACGGGCGTGGGCATGAATGAACGCGTGTGAGATGCATCCGCGAAGACAATAGCGAACGCACAATTCGTGTGGTCGTGATCTCGTTGCACTTTACGTGGTACACACTCGCGTTCACGCGCTAACGGTCACCGGCCACGAGCCAGAGGTAATATAGCGTTACGTCACACCGGTGCTGAAATATTTATTCTATCCGAGATAGGATAACGCAGTCAGCATCTGGGAAAGCGTGAAGCAATTAGGGAGTCATTCGCCGTGCAGAAACATCGGGACGGAACGGTCACGCGAGGAAAAGAGCAGAAACGAATTTAAATATTCACGGCGGATGCTAATGCGTCAGCTTCGTAGGCTAGTTTTAACGACAATTACCAACGTAATCGAACGATATTGTTGCCGTGAACGATAGTGTTCGAAACATCGTCTTCCGTTACCAATTAACCGTTCTCGCACGAATCGTTTCACTGAAACCGTGCCACCGTGCAACGCAGCCACTTATTTTTAGGAATGCCGAAACAATGTACATGTCCGTTTCTCTGTAACACTTACTCCGACATCCTGCTCGGTAGAAATCATCGTCAGCCGTGAAAATAACACGGCAATTAATTTCTGATAACGCTAACGATTATTCGGCGAGCCGTATCTTCGCACGTTCAGTCGTAAGTAAACACAGCAACGCGTGCATGTGCACGCGTGTGGCGCGATCGTGAAGATCACCTGCGATTAAATCCTCCCGAGGACTTCGCTCTCGCGAGTTCCCATACCCTAGTTTTCTGCCAGCAACCGTGGCTGTGCGAGCACCGATCGCGTTTCTCCGTTGCGAAATTCATGCGCGCGCGATCGTGCCGCGAGGCTGAGCGCGATCAGTGAGGATCGAACCGGTGTTCGTTCAATTTTAAACACACAAAACCGACCGACAGGACTCGCAGCAACGGTGCAACGTCGCGCAAACAGCAACAATCCCGTGATCGTAAACCGTCGAATCGATAGGTCTTAAGGTGGCAAATGTCAGAACTATCGGGAAGGACCGAAGAGCCGGTGTGTAATTAAAAATACAATAGAAATTGCGTTCTCGCGCGAGCAGACGCGAGAAGAACCGCGTACAGTCCCGTGAATAGTAACGGTACTATGGTTTTCATAAAGCTATTTTACTGAAATCGGAGAGCACTGACGTTTACTTTAACGCGTGAAATAAAAATTACAGTTTCATCACGGAAGTTATCGAAAATTGACGTAATTTTTGTTGATCGATTTTTCGTACGATTGTTTCGAATTTTTGCTCGGTATCGCGTGCCTTAATAGGAGTTTTACGCCTCGATCGGATTGTTCTCGGTATAAGAACCCTGGAATCAAAGTTCGCGATAATAACGATACGGTCTAACTTTTATGGCAGCATAAAAAGTCTGAACGGCGTATAAAGGAACGGAAAGTTGTCCGGCAGTTTTAATCGAAATAAAGGAGTATTTATCGCGATACCGTTCGCGTGAAATTTGTTTCCGTAAGTGTCGGCCGGAATGATAATTTTCTTAGAAAATTTCGCTGATGTGCTGCAGGACGACAGAAGTTCTCGTTCGGACGACTCTAACGGCGAAATCTTCAAGAATGTCCCGAAGAACAGCAGCACGTTTCGCATTTGGAAGATCGAGGTACCGTTCCATTAATATAAAAATAGAAATATAATTTTTAGTATTCTTTGTGTTAATATTGCAACGCACGCGTATAAACCGTACGGGTTTAACGTGCCGCACGCCACTTTTCACGAGATTGAGAAACACAAAGAGTGAAAGTATGAGATACAAAATTACCTTTTAATGTCTGTGCAACAGGGTTTACGAGTTGCAGCTGTCACCGGAAGTAATATGGGATATTTCCTCTCGGAATTGGCATACATTATCTACGCAGTGTCGACGAAAGACGGTCCACTCCCTTATCCTGGGATGCCGGTAATTTATTTCAATTATCAGTTTCGAAACATTCACCATTTCCTTCATTATACCGCGTGTTGCATAATAAACGTTGCAACCAGAAAGAAGATATGATTTTTTCGATTTGTACAATCCGGAAACAGGATTCTTCTACTCATTAATTTTCTGCCAACAAATATTTCTAGTTAGACACAAATCGATCGAAAATTTTTCAATTCTTTTTATTACAATATGCTTTGATTCTCTATCTTAATGTACGCAAATAAATGGGGAGAAAATAATAGAAATTATAGTTGAAAATTTGTTGATCAGTGTTATCGGAAGAACTTAAAAAGGTTCTACGAAAAATATAAATTTTCAATTTTCTTTTTTACGGCACTCTGTATAGTTATTATTTAACACGACTTCCACGTTCCTGTTTTAATAATTTTCGTTCAAATTATTCATCCAGGTTAAGGACTTAAAGTCGACTCCGGTAGTTCGTGTAATTCATTTTTGGATCGGTTCCGCGTGCGACTCCACGATATCCGGTGCCGCAGCCCTTCGAGCGGCCGAATTGGACTCTTTAATAAATGCGACGATTCTATTGAGAGAAGCACAAGGTCGTGAAAGTCCGAGGTTCCTCGCTTATTTTCGTCAACGTCTCGTTATCGAGAACTTTCATTTCGAAACACCGGCTTGCTCGTTGCACAGAGTTACCGGAGTAGGAGTTCCTGTGTTGACGGAACTTGAAAAAGTCCACTGGGACCATTTCAGCTCGCGGGACGTTATTCTCGTGGACGTTCTATCAAAGTACGTACAGAGCGTAAAAGACATTATTTTAGAGATACTTGGATGTAAAGTTTTCAAATGAGCACACCTGTACAGTTTAATCGTAGTTTACACCTGTGAATAATTGAAAAGCCAAAATTTATACAGGGTGTTCGGCCAACCCTGGGAAAAATTGTAATGGGAGATTTTAGAGGTCAAAATAGGACGAAAATCAAAAATACCAATTTGTTGATGGAGGCTCTGTTAAAAAGTTACTAACGTTTAAAGTTTTGCCCGTACTGAATTTTTTTCTCGAAAATGCGCAGGATTTCGGGGTATGTCTATTGACCAAAAATGATTATAATTGACCCCCATAAACAAAAATAATTTTTCTGGAATGATTTGAAATTTTGTAATTTTGTTGAAGAATTTCACACCTCGAATTTTTTTCTCGAAAGTGGGTAAGATTTCGGGGGTATGCCTATTCACCAAAAATGATTGTAATTGACTACCACAATAGAAAATAATTTTTTTAGAACGATTCGAAATTTTTTTTTTCGCCGAACAACCTACCCTTGTCTATTTTTCTTAAAAATTCGTTTTTCATTTTTCATTACTTTGGTTGACGTTGCATGGAAAAGTTGTTTAATACTTTTTTGTACATATCCATGGGCTCTACTTCAGAAAAAAATTTCAATGAAATATATTTACTATTGTAGGAATTATGGCTCTTTAAAGATTGGACCATTTTTATGAGCTTTTTGTCAATTTTCGGGGTGAAGGAGTAACTTTTCGAATATTTTTGAAATTTCCGCATATTCTCTGCCAAAATACGCGTTGTTTGCATTTTGAAACATTAAAATCGTCCAATCCGTTCAGGAGTTATGATGTTTCAAAGATTCACATGAAATTTCGGGGAACCATTGCAGATTATTTTTTCGGTAAGGAATTTTTTTCTCGAAATTCAGTAGAATTTCGGGGGTATGTCTATTTACCAAAAATTATTATAATTGACCCCAGCAACCAAAAATAATTTTTTTAGAACGATTTGAAAGTTTTTAATTTCGTCGAAAAATTTCACACCTCCTCGAATTTTTTTCTAGAAAGTGGGTAAGATTTCGGGGGTATGTCTATTCACCAAAAATGATTGTAATTGACCCCCACAATTGCAAACAATTTTTTCAGAATGATTTGGAATTTTTTAATTTCGTCGAAAAATTTCGCACCTTCTCGAATTTTTTTCTAGAAAGTGGGTAAGATTTCGGGGGTATGTCTATTGACCAAAAATGATTGTAATTGACCCCCGCAATCGCAAATAATTTTTTTAGAATGATTTAAAATTTTTCAATTTCGTCGAAAAATTTCACACATTCTCGAATTTTTTTCTAGAAAATGGATAAGATTTCGGGGGTATGTCTATTGACCAAAAATGATTATAATTGACCCCAGCAACCAAAAATAATTTTTTTAGAATGATTTAAAATTTTTCAATTTCGTCGAAAAATTTCACACATTCTCGAATTTTTTTCTAGAAAATGGATAAGATTTCGGGGGTATGTCTATTGACCAAAAATGATTGTAATTGACCCCCGCAATCGCAAATAATTTTTTCAGAATGATTTGAAATTTTTTAATAACTTTTAAACGAAGCCTCAGTCAATAAATTGATATTCTTGATTTTCGTTTTATTTTGACCTCCAGAATAGGGGTGGCCGGACACCCTGTATAAATCAGGATCATAATGCTGGTATAACAAAGTTGTATGATTTTATTAAAACAGAAGCATCGTGTTCCTCTGGCTAGGATCGTCAGCAGACCCGTTGCACAAACGACACGCGGTAAACATACTAGAAACTAAAAAAGAGAACAACAATGGTCGCGTCGTCATCGTCGAAGACGGTTACGAACAAACGCTACCGGACGGCGACAAACAACTCTTTGCCAGCATTTTAGATCCATCCACGAGAGTCGTGCAACCCGATCGTCCCTACAGAATTAACGCGCCAAGCCCGGTGAAGCTTTACAGGTGTAGCGAACAATCCGGCAAATACAAAGTGGCGGAATTAAAATCTGGACCAATTCTTCGATCGGATCTAACATCGGAATCGGTTTATCTGATCGATCGCGGCGAGGCGGGCGTTTGGGCATGGGTTGGACAGAACGTGAACGCCCGGGAAAAACTAGAGGCAGTTCGTAACGCGCGTGGTTTCGTAAAAAAGAAAAACTATAGCAATGGCGTGTCCGTTGGAAGAGCACTTGAAGCTTATGAACCAACGGAAATGAAAGCTCTCGTTAGAGGCTGGGAACCTTCGAAAACGAGACCACTCACACTACCGCCCAGTTTCGAACCCGATTACATGAATGAGAGGCCCAGAATGGCTGCCGAGTGCCAATTGGTGGACGACGGGTCCGGCGAAAGAACACTTTGTAGAGTAACTCATAAAGAAGGAATGGTTCAGGTTGACGACAAGGGTATATACTATGCAGAAGCCTGTTACGTAATGTGTTACAAGTATGGTCAAGGTCGCAGAAGCAGAACCATCGTACGTCTACGTAGGAAAATACAGCTTTCGATACTAAATTATGAATCTATTCGTGGATAATTTAATCAGTGTTATTTCACAAAGTAGCACGCTTAATATACTGTAATATTACTGTAATTGAAATGTAAAAGTTACCAATTTTATAGGTGTATTGTTGGGAAGGTGTTCATTCCATAAAGGTGGATAGAGAGGCCGCGTTAGAAACAGCTTGTCGTTTATCGGAAGATACCGCTGCTCAATTAGTGAAAGCATGCCAGGGTAGGGAGCCATCTCATTTGCTTCAAATTTATGATGGAAAATTAAAAATACTAGCTGGAAGACATCGTGATTCTCGTGAGTAATGTAATGAATATTTTTGTCAGTTTATTAGATTAAATTTTGCTATTGAAAAAATTCACGTCTCAGCGCCGGAAAAATATCTCGTCCGAGTTTTCGGATCTACGCCTTACACATCAAAAGCGGTTGAACGTCCTCTGAGGTCTAGCAGCCTCGATTCTAGTGGAGTTTTTATCCTATTCTCCGACATGCCTGTAGTGTGGTGTGGCGGCAGGAGTACCGGAGATGCTAGGCAAGCGTCTCGACGACTTGCACCTAGAAACGCACCCTTAATGATTGAAAATAAAGAAGATAATGATTTCTGGGCAGAACTTGGAGGTAAAAAACCTCCATTACTACAGTCTTGTTAAAATCCCTAATTACACTGTTCAACACGAATTTTGTTTTTCCGTACCCACTAGGTGATTCTTGTAGAGCTTCGTACCTTAAACACGAATCTGGAAACGGAATTGCTGTATCACCCTCAGTTTTCGAAAAACACTAGTTTTTGTGAAAACGTACAATTTTGGGTAAAAACGAGGTATTACGCGAAAATTAAAAACATCAGACAGTTCCAATTAATCTTAAAAGATAGAGGAGAGATTCCTGAATATGCTAACATCGATAGTTATAATATTTTGTGCTTTTGAACGGTTGTAAATGATCGCTAAAGTTTGAAAAAGTGTCGAAGTACATACTTTATACACAATACTTTTGCATATTTACGAAAAGTTGTTTACCTGACACGAAATCTATACACAGGATCTGATTCTGCAGACATTTCTGAAGAAGAAACTGTCCAACAGAAGTATAGAATCCGTTCTCAATTGTCACAGGTCGAGAAAATGTGTATTAGCAACGCGTGCACGGCGTTTTATCGCCACGCGGCCATCGCTAGCCTACCTCGGCTCGGCAGTGCCGTAGCTACGCATAATGGATGCGACACCGATAATATCTTAGGCTCCTAATTCCTGTATATGTTTATCATTTTTGATTTTTTAATCTGTTTGTGGATTTGTACAAAACATTTCTCGATCATTTCCATTTCTAAACAATTTCGATGTTTATTGTATATATTTGAATGGTTTTTTAAATATAAAGCCGTAAAAAAATAAACAAAAATTGTACGTTTTCACAAAAACTCGTGTTTTTCGAAAACTGAGGGTGATACAGCAATTCCATTTTCAGATTCGTGTTTAGGGTACAAAGCTCTACAAGAATCACCTAGTGGATATTGAAAAACAGAAAAAAAAATTGAATTTGTAGAACAGTGTTATTTGTGTACAATAATTCGTTAATATATTATTAAATTTGTATCCATCAGGTAAAGGCACTTACGGTACGGAAAGTATCGACGTTGGAGAAGAGCTTGGAAAACATTTGTACCAATGCTTAACAGAAGGTGAAATTTTTGTTGGCGAAGAAGTTCTTGGGTTTGGACAAAATTGTCTTCTTCCAGAGACAATTTGGTTGTTAGATGCTGGCAATGTAATATGGGTCTGGATCGGAAAATCGTCGAATCCTAAATCATTGAGGGAATGCGTACACGATGCTATGGTATTTCTTTACACTCACCCAGCTAGTCGAGATCGAAATACAACAATTTCTGTCATTAAACAAGGTATTTCAAATTGACTGCTTATAAGAAATTAATTGCACTGCAAAGAAATAAACAAATTTCTTTTACCACTTCTTCCAGGTATGGAACCTTCGACGTTTATAGGGCTCTTCGATAATTGGAATTATAATTTTTTAAGAGATTATAAATCATTTGACACATTCTATACACTTCTGCAAGATAAGGACTCGATAACGAAGATACAAACGTCCTCGAAGCCATCGAGTGATTTCGACAATTATGTGAAATATCCTCTTTCTGTATTAAAAAATGAACCAGAAAATTTACCGTCCGGCGTTGACGTTGCTCGCAAAGAGATGCATCTTACTTTTGATAACTTTATTGCCATTTTTAAAATGGAACCTGATGAATTTGTAAAACTCCCTCCTTGGAAACGACAAAGGCTGAAGCAATCAGCGGGTCTTTTCTAACTTATAAATTTTCTTTTTTTTTATAATAAAGTTTGTACAATAGTCATTATATGCAATCAAACCATATTCCTTGTATTTTATTGTTTGAAATTAAATTTCTTAACTAAAAGAACGTAAAAATAAATTTCTGTAATTTCCAAAATCATAATTAAGACTTTATTTGTTGAAAATTCACATATCATTCGGACTTAAACTTTGAATCATTTTATGCACATTTCAAGATGACGTATCCATTGGTTCTTCTGCAACTCTACGAATACTTTCCTCCTCTACGATTATAGGACGAACTGTTTTATTAATTATAGCGGTAGTACCACGCTTGTATCGATAAGATATTTGACGTTCGCCCTTTACATTAGCAATATCGTAAGGTCTTAAATAATCAACGGAACCCTTACGTATTACACACAGATCTACGTTGGAACCAGAAGCCAAATCATTGAACACACCGCCGCGAATAGCATCTGCTACAAGTTCTTTAGCTTCCTCTTCCTAAACACATTTTAACACAGAATATATTATCTATAAATGAAATACATGTGTACAAATTTTAAGTGTCCTTACTGTCATGTCTGGTTTCCATCTACTTTCAAATATAGCCATAGCAGCTAATGATCCTGTACCCATGCTAGTATACATGTGTTTATCTGTTGACCCATGTGGAAAAATGCAATATAAATGTGGTCCATCTAGATCACAACCTCCTAATACCAAAGCAGCTCCAATGTTGCCTTGATAACGAAACAGTAACTGTTTGATCATTGCATTAGCAGTGCAAACAGGTACTAGACGACCAGTATTTAACCGATGTAACTCTAACTGACTGGATATCATCTGAGTTGTCATTTCAGTATCAGCAGCAGTTCCTGCACCACAGCAACTTTAAAATAATAGTCAATTAATTTTCTATTATCTAATATTTGGAAAAAAGTTACAAGTGATATAAACACAAAAATGTAGATTGTCTATGGTGTCAATAATGACATTCAAAAGTTAAAAATTATTATTAATTTCAATGTACATACTATATATTATCTGCAAGAAAATGAATTTTGCTACAGTTTTTATCAGCAACTATGGTGTCTTCCGTTGATCTTGTGTCACCGCCAAGAACGACTCCATCTTTATAAACAACCCCAGCAATAGTTGTTCCTGTTTTTACAGCTTTAGGTGGTTGAAACCCTTTCTTTATCAAAAAATTGTTTCTGAAAAAAAAGTATACAATTAAATGAAATTGATAATTGGTTCAATTTTATGTAATTGTATGCCTATGTCATGAAATTCCTAAGTGATTTATTAAAGAAACTAGATGTTAATAAAAATATGACACAGCATTATTAACCCGCAATAGGTTATGTGCGATGACATTTTATTTTCCAGCTTCGCCGTTATGGAACTTCATAACAATAAATTACCTTCGACAGAGATCAAAAGAAAATCCAGGCGCAGGAATTTCAGGCACAAGTATCGAAGACATGCTTTAAACTTTATGCACTGTTTAATCTATCGAAAAGTACACAGTAACGAGGCAGTAACGAACAGCGTTTACAGATATGCGACGCTCAGCGCTCAGTACGATGTCATCAAACGACAGACCGGTGCCCAAAAGAAACTGCCCCTCCCTCCACTTACGCACACTAAACACAGCCACATATACGTGAGCTCCTGCTCTTCGGGCAACTTCGAGAATTCGAGACAGAAGCTGAATGTGAGTCTTTCTTTCTCGCTCTCGAACAGCTGAAATCCGACTGCACATTAGTGTGCGTAAGTGGAGGGAATTTTCTTTGAACACCGGTCTGCCGTCTAATCGGTCTAGTAACACTGGTTCCGCTGTAACTTTCGCTACTGGACTGTAGAGGCATACTAGGCCGTCGCATATCATTCACCTTTTTTTATACGCGTGTACAATAGAACAATATACATAAAAAGAAATTAAAAATGCATTTATTAAATATTAAAAATAACAGTGTTCATAAAATAAAATAATAAAAAATACATTTTTTACAACATAAAAACTATTTTGAAGACATATAGAATGGTTCACGGTTTTATAATAGGTACAATTTTAAATAAACTTTCATGCTATATAGATTACTGTCTGAACTGCAAATAAGTTAAAAACAGTAACCATGATTAAACAATATATTTTCGAAAAACAAGGTAAACATGTCGATACATACTTTACATGTTACTTCAAAACTCATCGCGTGTTACTATAAAAATATATTATGTCTTATGACACCGTTTAATAAGACAATAGTCAGTCTAATAAATTGCAAAAATTTCTATAAATATATTTATAAACAAGTCACATCGTTAATAATTTCTCCCATCATATTTTTATCCTGCAAAGCAGAATTTAGTTCTTCTTGATCCCATTCTAAATTGACTTTTGACAAACGAGGCTCTTTTTTAGTCGTCAATTTTAAAATACCTCTAGTTTCTATCAGCGAGCATAAACTTACAAATTCAGAACTATCGACGGCATGGATATTCCGTTTCTCGCAGACCTTCCTGTACACGTCATGCAACTAAAATACAATTTCAATGATACAAACCGTAATTAAATTTCGATCTACAAATTTTTTATGCTTTTGTCAACTTACTTTTCCCACTGTTATATCCTTACTTCGCCCCCTATTTAAAATAAGCAGATAAGAACATAATAGCAATTTTTGTTGCAAAGGAAATGTGTTTTCTTCTTTTTCAATATTTTGAGATCCTCCATAAACACCATTTAAAACCGCAATAACATCCTTTAAATCTGCTGGCCTCTCTGTTAAAGATTGTTGTTTTTCAAGGCAGCCAGTATTTGCAGTATTTGCCTCTGTTACAAAAATTAACTTTTGTAGAAAATAACAATTTATTTTCCTCATTTAATTTAGTTTCTACAGTAAATAACAAGACATACCATTGTCATTTGTGGGCTGTAATACTTGTACTATCTTTTGCGACCCTGCAAGCTCTATTACTCTTCTACTGATATCCAGTGCTTTCCTAATATCTCCAGAGAAAGCAGCAACTTTTCCAGCTAATAGCTGTATTGCAGTTCCAGAAAACAAATTAGATACTTCTGCTTCTTTTAACCGTTCGGTTATTATATTACATATTTGTTGTTTAGAATATGGTGTAAAATGCAACAGCTTTGGTTTCAATTCACATCTAGCCTGTAATCTAGGCAATATTCTATCTGTTAGATCTAAAGCATTAGCAATACCAACTAAAAGTAGTTTTGAATTTTTCATTGATGGCCATTCAAAAATAGAATATAAAACAGATTGCTTTCTACTTTCTAATTGATCTAATTCATCCAAAATCAAAAGCAACATTTTATGTTTAGATATTAAATATTTCTGAATGATTGTTTTACAATTTTTTCCAGGAGGTAGTCCTAACTCCTGAATGATTTTTGAATAAATTGCAGCAGCAGATTTCATGGTAGTGCAATTAATGTAAATTATTTTAAAGCATGATTTGAACTTTGGCTTTAAAATGAGTTTTGAAAGACATGCTGTTTTTCCAGTTCCTGGAGGCCCAGAAACATACAAGGAACCTGATCTTTCGGTTTTCAAGTGTTCTTCCAGAAATTCTTCTAATTTGGCTAATTCTGGTTCTCTATCAGGTAAAGTTTCAGGTAGTGAGCTATGTAAAGCCTTAAGAGCATTACGATATTTTTCTGAACCAAACAGTTTTTTAGGAACTAGTTTTGCCTCTTTATCAGGAGACGATATTAAATTTAATTTGTCTAAAAGAGTAGAGGGAGATGTTGCTGGCACTGATTTTTCTATTCTTTTTTGTTTTGGAGATGTGGAGCTATCATCTGCTGAAACAAACGAATCAAAATTTTTTCCATATAATGTACAATTACAAAATTTAACAGTAATAAAAAGCTTTCGATACATACCATTAGATTTACTGGCTTTTCGCGTACGTTGTGGAGTTCGGGCGGTCCTACCCTTGCCACGTAGTTCCGCATTATTTTCCGCTAATGCATTTTCCACATCTGAACCCGAATCCGATTCTGATTCACTACTACTAAAGGTAATAACCTTTTTAACTCTTGGAATATACTTATTCGAAGAATCTCTAGCAGTTGCATCAGTAAAATCTTGTTTCGAAATATTATTTTTGGTTCCATAAAATGAACACTTTTTTCGTATATTAAATGGAATTTTAGTTTGGATATTAGTCATTTTTATATAATTTATAAGACACTCGAATTACTGTCAGGCACAAATTTAATTCTTCATGCAAAACACTTCTTTCTCCCTTAAAAACTAAGTTTATAGTATAAACTTTATGACATATTCGGTATTATTCTTTAACCTACAACACATTCATCTGTCGCGATATAATCGTTTAAAAATTGTTCTCAGGCACACTTTACATTAAATGCTTATTATTATTGCTTCGTCAATTTCAAGCCATTAAATACATTCCTCGATTCATTTATTATATATTTACAATAAATCATCTTCTTTTGCCGCGCAACAAATGTCGACTGCCGCGCTTTTTCGTGGGAAGTTACTTTTAACGCGGGAAACCGAGAAATACGTGAAACAGGAACGGAACGATGAATACAGATTTCCCGCGCAAACAATCGTATTTGAAAAATATTACGCAGTAATACAAAATAACAGGCAACAGTAAAATGTTATGCTACTACAGTACTTATTAATTAAATAAAATGATTATTTCATTAGGTATACTTTACATAATACATGTTAACACAACAGATATACAGTGCGCGCATATAAAATTTTTTAGCCCTCTACACATAAATCTACGTACTATAAAGTACAACGTTTCCGGGTTGCTGTAGAAACTAATGCTTCTCTTCCATATTGGTTTCTGAAGCCGAAGGTGGCAGTATAAGACGGCAGTAATCGAGATATTCTAGAGTAATCTAGAAATCTCGTAAACCCAAAATGAGGGCGAAGGTAAATTTTTATTAACACCTTCTTATTAATTTTAATATTTTATAAAACAAGTCTGTTATTATGTATTTTTTAAATATCTGAACATACGCTTTAAAATTACTACGTGCATGGCTACTTGACACAGTTGTAAATATAATATTTCGTTTGCAAAAATCTTCCCTTTTAACATCTTCAAAACTTCTTCAGATGTTTAACATTTTCAATGCTTATAAAATGTAATTTTATATACGTAATAACTTAATAATAAATAAAATTGTATAAACAGAACTTAACCTTTTACTTCGAATTTTCAGTGGCGAAAAAAGAGGATGCGTAGGCTAAAGCGCAAAAGGAGGAAGATGCGTGCGAGGTCCAAATAAATTTTATATTAATAATTTCTGTAAGTATGCTTTGTTGTTAAATTCAGTTTAATTCTATAGTATGTCAATTTTCATATAATTTTAATAAACTAGCGTGTTAGATCTAATTCTCAAAACATTAACAAATAGTAATTTATATAAAAAACATGTATAGAAATCATTGATACAGTAGAATACGATAACTGTTGTTATTATAGCTAAACTATGAATTGTTTCTACAATAATTCTTCTCTAATACTTAATATTAAAATTTAATATGTATTGTTGATCATACTTATGATATAGAAAGTTTTATAAAATGTTTCATTTACTAAGATTATAAAATATTTGTTTCAGCTCTTGGTAAAGCAACATCAATTCCGGTACAATAAGATTTTGGTCGATCAGAGTAATTTTGTATCAACAATTTGTCACCGACTTCTATTGTTTTTACATTTGAGAGTACATTTTATTAATGTATGTGTCTCGTACGATTAAATAAATTGATTATTCAAACTATATGTAGTCCCTTTTTCTCCCTACCTTATTTATTGAAAGTTAAAGTTTCAGCATTATAATAAGAAATTAATTCAATTTCATAATGTTCATATATAGTTAATTGACTTTTACCCATTACGTATCATTTCACATGTGAGTGTAAACATAACCTTGTTTATTACACGCGTGCAAGATGCGAAGTCGTCTATTACCAAGTTTATTACAAACGAGAGAATTGTTACAAGAATATTTCAAACCTCGCATTTATAATGTAATAACATATTCTCTATTAAAACAAGTTAACAAATTTTCAACTAATAGTGTAAAGAAATCTATGGACGATGAAAATACACAATCTAGTTCACATAACCTACCTGGTTCAATAAGTTTTAAACACAAAGTTTTTGATGATAAAGATGCAAAAATTATTCTCGATATTAATGAAAAACAAGAAACAATTAATTTGGAAGATTTAACAATTGACGAGAAAGATTATGATCCTTATGAGGGAATAAATTTGCAACGTAAGTTTAAATGAAACAATTGTATACAATCATACATTGCATATATTTAACGTTACAGTTTTTCTAATATTCAAAATGAATTGAAAATATGTTTAACAAAAAGTACTAATGAAATTACTTATTAGGTGGCATAAATGGTGTATTCGAAATTGAAGATCTTGTATCACTATTGCGAAGAGAAAATGCGAAAAATATTTTTGTAGCTTCTGTACCCGATGAATTATCGTATGTTACATACATAGTTGTAGTGACAGGGAAATCGCAGAAACATATGAAAGCTATTGCTACTTTTATTCGTAAAGTATATAAATTAAAAAGACATGGCACAGATTGGATACCAAAGATTGAAGGACAAGATTCAAAGGATTGGATAGCTTTAGATTTAGGTGTGTGTATTTTGTGTATATATTTGATAATATTGGCATACCTATAAAATAGTTAAATATTAATATTCAGTCATTTTATTTCTTAGGAAATATTGCATTGCATATTTTTTCAAATTCAGCTAGATTATTGTATGATCTGGAAACGTTATGGTCAGTCGGTCCTGAATATGACCATAAGAGTAAAGACACGGGTGAAGATATTATGGAGCAATACAATACAATTTTGCAAAATATGAAACCTATTGAAGAGAGTGATTATATAAACAATAAAATCATGACAAATGATAATAAATAAAATTTTGTCAATAATGTACATTGTATTATAATTTCAAATAAATAAATCATACCAAGTTGATAACATTATTTAATTTATAATTCCATTTCATAATAAATTTATGATCGATTTCTAAATATCTCTATGTACAATTACAGAAGTATTTTGAATAAACAATTTACTGTATAATTATTTTTATTTTTTATATTTAGCAAAAATGTACATACATCAAATTTTATCTCCTTTTATTATTAAAAAGCAAAATTTTAAAAACAAATTGCGTCTGAAGTGTTGGGATTTGGGATCACTTTGAGATACTGCCGGGTAGATCGTGACGTCACCAATGTTTGGATCACGTGATGAGGTAGAGTTATAAAAGTGGATTGGTAGAGAGGGCCTTAACAACGGTGCTTGGTATTCCGATCAACAGTTGATACTATGCGACGCCATTTTTCATAGAAAATTCGAACAGAGTAGACGTGTGTGAACATTTATATTTTGGAGCAAGTGATATTTATTATATTTATATTATATATAAATCAATATTAAATGTATTTCAGTTCATTTTTACTTTTTTTATATGTACCTTCTTACTACATTTCTAAAACCTCAAGAAAAATATGGTTATGTTACGTGTACCACACTTTTGCATCGGTGCTAGAGTCCCTATCATTTGGAAATCCGAACTAACTCGAAGTATTCCGAACACAAGTGACGTCACGATCTATTTGACAGTATCCCAACACTATCCATACATATGTACCTACATACAGAAAGGGTTTCCTCCCATACCCCCTTCCCTCTCCGTGCTTCATTCGTTTAATGATTGTCCTTTCTGAAGCATGTAATTCACACAGCCAGCGTCCATATTTAAAGACGCTTTATCACGGACTAGTAGAATGGAATCTTATCGATTTATCTACTCCATTTCACACGCTGACTAATCATTTTAATACATACGTACTTGCTTCTCCTTATCTTGATTTAAGTTGATGTATTTAGTTTTACATCTCGCGTGTACATCAGAACGTGGCTCAGTAATCTTTATTCTGTACTATTCTCCAAAACAGTTTTAATATATTTGAATTTTACTCGTTGTTTGTAAAATAAAAATAATTTTTTCTATAATTCGAAAAAAGTAATATCTTCCATTAATAATATATCTGTACAATTGAATACATATTAAAACATCTTTTTCCTTTTTTGTGAATAAGAGAGCAATTAATGTTCAACGACATTTGGGTAATGTATGTAAATTTTTAAAAAAGCATTTAGTTTTTGTTTATTTGAAAAGAGCTTGCTTTTTATATAATTGTATGTTTTATGCTACAAATGTTACAGTATTTTTTAATAAATTTTATTTTAAGATAAACAAAAAAGATTCTACAGTTTTCTTGCCTTAATAATTTTGTTATCTCATGAAAATTATAATAACACAGGAATCAATTTTTAAATCTAGTATAAGATTTATACAAATATTCTTCTGTTTAACACTATTATTAAATAGAGTTAATGTAATCAGTTATATTGCTTATTAAATTCATTTCAAATTATAACAAATCATTTCTTCAAATTACATAAAAAAATTTATATAGATTTTACAATTTTTATTTCAGCAAATTATATGACTATTTCAAGACATTTAAACAAACATCTCTATTGAAGAAATACGTGCAAGCAGAAGAAATAAAATGGTGTAAAAAAAAATTCATGTAATCTTAAAAAATGGCAAACAATTCAGATTCAGTCTGTGAAAAAAAGTCTACTCGTTTCCTACAAGTTCCTTTAAAATCAACTGAACAGATTTATCTTGTCTTCTTAATCCCAACATTAATTGGCTGTGTTACATATATAATTCATTTCTCAGCTGATTTAGTAGTTGCTATACAACACTTTAAAGAAAATAATCCTGTATGGGGATGTTGTACCATTAGTTTTATGTATGCACCAGCAATTACATATTTTATGCTAACTGTTTCGAGGCCAGATTGGTGGATGACAGATGATGATAAACTGACAAAGGGTGTTTTTGGTTGGTTTTGCCTTCAATTTTGTCAATTTATTGGCTTTGTTTTTTTTTCACTCTACAGGTATTGTCATTTTACTTACAACACTAGCAATAATTTAATGATTTTCATTCCATTAATTAATAACTCTTTTCTAGGTATGCAGGTCTTATAGTGCTATCTGTGGATGCTATTATTTTGTCTGGGAAAGAGAGAACAAAGACTTTAAACATAGCAGCTGCTCCTGCAGCTATAGAACTATACTTTTTCTTACAAGCTTGGTTTCAGGCAGCTCCTCAAGCAATCTTTCAAACACATTTGCTTTTTCGCGAAGCATCATTTCATCAAAGTCATCAATCTGGTACCTTAATTACAGTGTGCACAGTGCAATTGAAATTTATAAATATGAAAGTGACAATTTTAATAATTGATCTAATTTTTTTTGTAGTGGTTATAAAAGTGCTTTCCATTCTTATGTCTATTGTGATACTTGCTATTCAAACTACCTCTTTTCAAAGATTTGAAAGCCAACGTATTAATGGTAGAAAATTACCATGGGCAATGTGGTTAAAAAAATATTGTGTTCAGGTATTTTACTAGAAAATGTTCTATACTTGTTATGCAAAATTATTTTACCCATTTAAAATACTTCTTTAACTTTTATAATTAGGAACTTTGTGATCTCGAAGAGAGAGCTCCTTTAAAGTTATCAGATATAAAAGAGGAAGATACTGTGCATGAAACAAATGCTATAGAAGGATCTGAAGAACATAAAGGATCTATGAAAATTGAAAATGAGGACAAAGGACAATTTGATCATGTTTCTTTAGATCGTCAAGTATCTGTAACACCTCCATTACCACCAAAAAATGTGCATATTATACCGCCTCCGACTCCGTTACGTGGAATTACCACAGTCGCATCATTGCCTATCCCAGATGTACCAGCACCACCGAGACCAGATTCTATTTGCACAATCGTGGAACCTTCTGAATTTGACAAAGTACTTACTAAACCAGCATCTGTTACAGAATCAAATAAAAACCCAGATAGTGTACAAATTTTAAAGATTCCACAACGGAGGTATTCAAAGAAGGGTTTAGAGGAAGATGATCCCATAGGCAAATTTTTGTGCTTCCTATGGTGGTTCTTTTTTATTTTAGCACGTATACTTGCTATTGCTGTATTTTATGAATTTTATCCAATTCACTTATGTATTGTGCTTAGCATACACTATGCTATCATGTTAACATACCTCTTTTACTATGCAAAATATTACGATATCATTACTTTTTTTGTTAATTTATGGTTGGGATTAGTTTACATATTTAGTTTGATCGAGTATAGAATCAAATTTAAGTATGCAGACAAGTGGCTGTTACCATACTATGTCTTTGTACTAATACAAAATACATTTCTAACATTAGCTTGGTACCTTTATGCAGACTGGGATGGATTTTGGTATACTTATGTATTTTATGTAATTTTTGCAAGTATGACACTTTGTATTTTATCAACCACAATTTATTGTGCTTTACTTAAGCCAAAGAAGCGTAGGATATATACCAGTTGACAAACAGTTACGACTATTTCATGGTAAAAGATTCATTGAAATGTGATTTTATAAATGCTTTAATCTATTTCTACATATTACATTACCATTATCTTTTTCATATTTATGCAAACTTTGTTAAACTACAAAGTAGGTATATTAGAAAATTGTTACTTAGTAATATGACAATGGAGTAGTTGGTATAATTACAGTTATAATTTACAGTAGGATTTTTTTATGTAAAATTAGATATAATGAGGACTGATATTCATTGGTAGGTAATATGTTATAAATGTATTTATCATTAATATAAATTACAGGTAGCTATATTTATGTAATATTTATAGAAAAATGATCCGTCTAAAAAACTTTTACAAATAGTTACTATATTCGGCAGCATTTTTCTTATCTGCGAATTTTATACTTGTACAGTAATATTTACAGTACTATGCATTTATATACAGAGATAATTCTAGATTCCTATATGAATACTTATAAGTATTAAAATATATATATATATATATATATCTTTCAATCTGCGTTTTCATTGTTGAAGACTTTGTATACATTAAATTCAAATACTTATTTCATAGTAATGTTTGAATAAAGGTTTATTATAAACCATTTACTTTTACGGAATTCATGAAATGAACTAAAAAATATATCCGTAAAATACATCACATTATTTATATCTGGCTCTTTATCTCTGTAAAAAAGCCACTTCGAAATTACTATTATTACGGTGATGTAATGAGATAACATTCATAAAGAAGTGTTAATAAATCTGGCTTGATAAAAAATATATGTTTCCTTATACACCATTCAATTGTATTCACATTGTTCACTTACACGCGGGAGTTCTTTGGACAGAAAAAATGCTTATCTCATACATGTATATTAGAATCTCTATGAAGGTTGCCCAATTGTGCTTCAAATAGAATGTCATTTAATAATTTTTCAGCAATAATCCTTTGGTCTAATCTCATATTTCTAAGTTTTGCTGCTACATTTCGTCCAATTGCATCAAACTCATCTTCCATTACAAATGAATTGTTATGTGATAATTTTAAAAGTTCAGTAGACTCAGCTTCTTCTGATTTACGTCTACGAATTAATGGAGATTCTGTCCATTCGTTTGGCTGATCATATGTTTCTTCATTTCCAGGTTGACATTCCTCCTAAGTAAATAAACCCTTGTATAATAACAAAACTTGCAATTCGCATTCTCTAAAACTAAATTCATAAATAATGCACCTACTGTCTTATAACACTTCCTGTATCCTCGTTTTGTTCTGACTAGTTCTGGACATTTATCAGCTGATAAGTCAATATATACCATTGCAGGTTTCCTTTGATTTGATTTACATTTAATTTTATCAATCATAAAAGGATGTACCCTCTGTAGAACACTTAAATTAATAAACATGAAATAATGAAGTCAGAATGTACAGAGCCCAAACAAGCAATATCTTACTTTAATATGACTTAAAAAATTTCCTGTAGATTTCAAATTTCCATTTAAGTGTTTCTGACACTGCAAACAACGAACTGTGACATTAGTATCTTCTACTCTAATTACTGTAAAAAACTCTCCATCAAGAATAGCTGGTAGTCGAATTGGAGTAAGAGTCATGCTTTGTTGAGTATTTGATTGAATCGGGGAAATCTGACTGTGTTGGTCTTGTTGATGTTGTTGTGGTTCTTGTTGTTGTTGATGTAAAGTAGGAGTCTCATGATTCTCTTGATTCTCTACTTCAACAGTTTGAGAGGGAACTTGTCCACTCACTGTTTGAGATATTTCTCTCTGTTGATTCGTAGCGTCAATCATGCACGTGTCAAAGGATTCAATCTTTGTTTCGTACCTTTGCGTAGGAAATGTATCCATGGTCTTGTGATACGTGCAAAGTTCACTCTAATGAATAAGTAATTTAATTAAAATGCTTAATAATTTAAATAAATTTTATATAAATGATGTTTTAAATACCTGCAAAAAAATGTGAAATCATAATTTTTACTGACAGCAAAGCAAAATACTATTGTTTATCTTGGATTCTTATTGAATTTTAGATAAGCTGTTAGATAAGGATGTCGTTAATTCATACAAATAACAAATCTAGATCAGATAATAGATGACACCGTGCAGTATGCGTTAAAGAAATTAAATGTCCATTTACCAACTTAAAAAAATAAAGCTATATTAACATAATATATAAATTTCATGTCTTACATTGCAAAATATTCTTGCATTGATAAAATATTCGATTCATTTCTTCAAGTATTATAGGCGTATATTCGATAAAGTGTGCCGACTTTAAGATTATGAGATATGCATGCGTAAAATCAACTTGGCAGCACTGTAGTAAATAAACATATCAATGAAGTTTCATAACGATTTGAACAAATTTTTAAGCACAAGTAACGAATTTTTTTACCTTCTTAATATTCTCCATGAAAAATGAAAGTGTTACATCTATACGTATAGAACATATTCCATTAAATATATTTGCCTTTGTTGCATACAATATTTTATATAAAACGTATTCTTTCTGTAATTTATTAATTAAGGATTACGATAACTCTTATAAAACAAAGATAAAATCATACATATCATTTACTTAATTATCATTAATAAGCTTCATGTAAAAATTAATGAACTTATATATAACATTAACAAAAAAGGTATTCAGCTAACCTTTACAGATTGCAGGGTATTTTTGTGAAATATAAATTATGTTGTCAGCATTGGTAATACCGGTTCGTTGCATTGGAAATAAATGTTGAAGAACTGTAGTTACTACAGTCTACAGTCACTGTAGTACAGCGTGCGTGATTTCTTATAAAAGGTTTGTTTTTATTTCATCTTGGATCACTGTGATGATTCGTATAGAGGTGTTTATAGTGCAATACCCACTAGTGTACGCAAGATTTTACTGAGATAATACAAAAAGTAGATTTCATATTTTTACAAAATTGCCTCGTATATCGAAATGTCTGCACCTTGTCTTGAAGCAACAAAGGAGGCCAAAGAAAAACAAGATCGAGTATCATCAGAGCAAAGCATTGCAAAGAGATCAGTTGAGACAAGTTTGCAAACATCCTGTTCAAAAAGAGACCGTGAAACAAATGATAAAAGTTATACGCAATCTAGAAAAGAAAGAAAGCATTCTCCAGGTCCAGAATCATCTAAGGTAGCGAAACGCTATAAAGGACAAAATGTATGTGTACTTGTATACATATGATATTATATACAGGATGTCTTTTTTAAAACTTTCACCCCGTTTTTCGTAAAAAACGCATTGAACAAACAAAAATTTTAGACAAAAATTGTTTGATTGGAAAAGAACAATAGGATGATATTATACATTTCTTATTTTGTAAATGTTTTCAAAGTCAAACGAAGGTCAACTTTGTTTTTTTTCAAATAGAAACTTACATTTTTTTTCACAGATTCTAAATTTGCATGAAAAAGTAAACAATTTTTATCTTGAACATTTCTTCGTACAACCTCTACTTTTGACAGTGTTCAACGTTGAAAAAAATGTTGAAAATTCAAACATTTTACTCTTCCTTTTACTACATTATTATATAGTTTTGCTATTATTTAGTTTTGCTTTTGATTGTGCTCTTAGAGAAATGTTTACTATTTGCAGTAAACATAAACTTACATTCTTCAAATTAAAAATTATTGTTCTTATTTCTTCATGAAAACAAATAAATAAAGAATAACTGAAGTTGCTTTTTTACTATCAATATTCAAAAATATGTTTGGACATCATTATAATAATTATTAGATGTAAATTCAGTCTTCAAAGGTATTTTCCATATAATAAAGTCTATCTTTGAATTCACATATTACTTTTTTAAATAGATTATATAGTAATAGTTTTGTTTTATCAACCATCCTATCACTACCTTAAAATCAAACAACTTTTGTGTAAAACTTTTTTTATCCAAAACATTCACAAAAAACGAAATTAAAGTTTTAAAGAGACACTTTGTGTATATATATATATTATTAAGTATTCTGTTTGTATATTAAATAATCTTAATCAAATATAATTTATAATTTGCAGCCTAGTAATACTCCCTCCGATTTATCTTCTGGTAGCAGTAGAGGAAAGAAAGAACCATCTAAAACAGAATTGCAAAATGATAATACACAATTAGTTGCAGAACATTATAACTCACTAGAAGAAAAAGGTTTTCAAATCAGAAATCAAAGCCGTATCTTATATATGAGAAATTTTAATAATTGGATCAAAAGCATGCTTATATGTAAGATTCTAATTCGCTTATTCACAAATAAAAAGACAATTTGTGTCAGCAACCTATAATAAAAGAAACTTAATTTACAGCTGAATATCTTGATAAGATAAAACAGGACAAAGGACATGGAACTTCTTTAAATGTATTAGATATGTGTTGTGGAAAGGGAGGAGATCTACTTAAATGGAAGAAAGGAAATGTAACACGTGTGATTTGTGTCGATTTGGCTTCAATATCTGTTGAACAATGTCGGCATCGATACAATGAATTAGTAAACAAAAGTTCTAATGAATGGAAATTTGATCCTATCTTCAGTGCTGAATTTATAGTGGCTGATTGTACGAAGGTATTTGTTCCTAATATCTTATACATTTTAAAGAAATAAATAATAATGAATGAGAAGTAAAATATTCAACACATTTAATATTAAGAATGGTTGTACATACTTTTATTATACATTTTGTCAATGGAAGTTGATTATAAAGAAGAGTTTCAGGTTCAATTAAGGGAAAAATTTGAAGATTCCAGTATGCAACTCGATTTGGTGAGCTGCCAATTTGCATTCCATTATAGCTTTGAATCATTACAACAAGCAGAATGTATGATGAAAAATGCTAGTGAATGTCTTAGGACAGGAGGTTATTTTATTGGGACTATTCCAGATGCATATGATCTAGTGTATGTTTATTTTATAATATACTAACAGCAATATTTTTATTTTATGACTCATTTTAAATTTTATTAAAAATCTACTTAAGAATTTTTTCTCTTGAACAGTTCTAGGTGGCAAAAATGTAACAGTAATACATTTGGAAATGATGTTTATACCATAGAATTTCTATGTGACAAAGTAAAAACACCACTTTTTGGAGCTAAATACAAATTTTCCCTAGAAGGTGTTGTTGATTGCCCAGAATTTCTTGTTCATTTACCTACTCTTTGTAAATTAGCTTCAAGATTTGGTTTAGAGTTAGTGATGTTTGAAAGGTAAAGCAAGTTTTAATCAAATAACATATTTAGAGATGTGAAAAATAAAGGTTTTATACTACTTAATTATAGATTTGAAAACTATTATGAACGTATGAAAGACGAAGGTAAATCATTACTTGGTAAAATGCAAGCTTTAGAAACTTATCCACCGTTTCATGGAGTACCACTTCTTGGTCAACCTGGACAAGATTATCAACATGCTATACAGTATATGCAAAATCTACCAGATCATCGTAAAATTGGTACCCTGTCTAAAGCAGAATGGGAAGTTACTTGTTAGTATAGGAACAATTCTCTCTTACATCTATACATGAAAACTTTAATGACTATAGTCACTACAATATTAATAATTTTGTTTGTTTGTAGCATTGTATGCTGTATTCGCGTTCCAAAAAATGAAAATGCTGAGGAATAGCGAAGGAAAACCAGAATATGTAAAATTATAAGAATTAGGAGCTCATTAGCAATTAAAAATTAGGAATAGTCTAGAAATTACGAGTTTGAAAAAATTATGATCATTGACTTTATATTGTACAAACTAGTCTGTTACTATAGAATTACATACATTTGTAACTATAGTATACAGTCAGTGATATTTTATATAATCTTTTTTTAATGAGTTTCAACGACACATCATGCATAATAGTTGAATCTATTATACATTTTCATCTGTATAACTGTCTGTATAAAATATGACTTACATAAACTGTTTATATAGAGTCTGATCACTGTTTATATAAAATTGAAATTAAATGATTCGGTATTATCACTTGTACAATAACATAAGATGATTGTATAAAGTATTTAACACACATTTCTATCTGTTTAATAATTTTAAATATATGTAAGACAAAATCATTTATTACATACAACTCATATTCACAGATTTTTCAAGAAAAACATGAAATTTTGACATTTGTTGTAAAGTCAAAATTTATTGTTTATTTTAGTTTTTATATAAAAAAAATAAATAAATGCCGCTATTAATGTACACTGCTGATGTACTAATGTATTAATTCACTTTTTTCGTATAATAAAAATTAACACAAGAACTTCATAGCAATAATCACCGAATATTTTATTGCGCCGTCGCAAAATTAATGTTTAATTCGTTGAATCTATACGAAATGATTTGCCCTTGTCCATGAACATGCGATAAGCTTCGATACTCTTCGATTTTGTGTTTTGAGCATGTCTGCTTGCAATCGAAATTCCTGACAAATAAACGAAACTTGAAAATCCTTTTTTAAATTTAAAGCGACTTTTATCTTTGAGAAATCACATTGAATCCATTTCATAATAAAATATTTATTCTTATGCTTTGTTTAGAAGTCGTATGTGTTACGTTCATAACCAACGTTGCCGAAACGAAACATGACCGAATAAACAGTTACGGATTGCGGGGTAAAGGGTTATATCGGTGATCGAAGAGGCGGAGCAAAGAAACGCATGCGCAGTTAGATATTTTTGGTACTTTGACTGGGTTTCCTATATGGTCTAAGCGTAGGCTCGGTCTGCAACTCGCACGGAGTGTATAGTCGAGTAGCGACCAACTCTGGTGTTCGTGTCCCCAGTCTATCAGTCGCGTTCTGTGGAAAATGGAGCTCGAGGAACCAACAACACAGTCGAATTCCGAATCAGTAAGTGGCTATTTCGTATCTATTCGTTTCGTTGCATTTACCCACGTGCATAGTTTTTCGATATTTTGCTCGATATCATCGCTTTCCTCTTGGACACAGCATAGCCGCGGACGCGAAATTTTTCTAAGTCCCAAAATGGCGTCTGCGACTAAGTCCTACCTGGCTCGCTTGAAACCGCCAGACGTTAAGTCCAATAGAAGAATGAACGTTTACATACGGTGCATCGCTCTCATTAAGATAACATTTTTATGCAAATTTTATTGTTTTTAGGATAGAATGGCCAAGGAGAACAGCATTGTGACTGGGAATCATAGTGGTAAGCCGTTTATTCGTGGAGTTTAACATACGTAGGTATTCTGACATAGATGAGATTGGAACTTTGCAACAGCAAACATTAAGTTCGACGCGACAACCAGAGTTGGGGCTGCCAACGACCCGACCGGTCTGACACGTGTTTCAACTCTGACGAAGCGTCCGAACTACTTACTACTTCCTGCAATTCAAATTTTATTATCTTTTTTTGAATCGGCACTTGTTTGCGTTCTATACTTCGGAACTTTTTAATTTTTATCTTTTCATTTTAAATTTCTTTTTTTTTTCTACGAATTATAACAATTTTTTTTATTAATTAATTGGTTCTTTTTGAAAGGGATCATAAAAGAGAATGTAAAATATTGAATTTAAAAATTAATTTGCATCGAGCACTTGAACAGATATTTTTAATTATAATAATCACAATAAATAAATTAAAAATGTAAGTGTATATTTGTTTCAGATTTTAATAATTATGTAGTAAGTAATTAAATTAGTAAACATGTAGTTTATTTTAATAATATGTGGAATAACTTATTGTTTGGATGAATATTTTGAAATACAAATGGAATATTGTGATATTTGTAGATACTCATATAAATGGTATGTCTAATGGATTTGATAAAAAAAGAGAACATAAATCTGAACATAGAGACAAAGATAAAGAACGATCTCATAAATCGGATCATAAGGACAAAGAGAGAAGCAAAGAAAAAGATAAAAATCATAAAAGTGAACATCGAGATAAAGACAGAGACAAACATAAACACAGTTCCAGTTCTATTAAAGAAAAGGATAAACACGATGGCAGTAACAAAGATAAAGACAAAGATAAAAAGAGTAGCTCGTCATCAAGTAAGGATAAAGAACATAGAAATAGCAGTTCTTCAAGCAAAGATAAAGAAAAAGACAAAAGTAAGGACAGGGAACACCATCACAAATCTAGCTTCAGCTCCAGTTCCAAAGATAAGGACAGGTAAAAGACCAAATTATTTATTACAGGTCGAATTGTTACTTTTTGTTGCTTTGTTGATATAAATAAAACACTATTACAGGCATCACAGTGGATCGAAGGATAAAGAGAACTCTAGTAAAGAAAAAGACAAAGATAAGAACAAGGATAAGGATAAGCATAAACATAGTTTGAGTTCAAGTTCTCGAGACAAGGATAAAGATAAAACTGCATCCAAAGATAAAGAAAAGGAGAAGAAACATTCATCGGAAAAGGACAAGGAAAGGCATTCCACATCACATACAAATGACAAGGAAAAGCATCGCTCTTCTGAAAAAGACAAGGATAAACATAGTCTGTCAAACAAAGATAAACATCGCCATGACAAAGATAAAGATCGGCATCGTCATGACAAAGACAAATGTGAGTATTAGTGGCATCAACTGTTGGTAAAATTATAAATGTAACTATAATATTCATTTCATTTTACTTAATTCATAGCAAAGCATAAAGAGGAAAAGGATAGAAAACTTAAAGAAAAGGACGAAATTAAAATAAAGGATGAAATAATTGATGTACAACATAATCATTTACAAAATGAAGAGTTTCATTATAATCCTGGGCAAGTTGTGAAACATGAACTAAAAGAGGTAGATAGGTTTCTATTTTATTGTCTTCATTATTATCATAACAAAGCGTTTCATGAACAGCAAACAAAAGTTTTAAAAAAAGAAAATAAATTATGTATATTTCTTCATTTTATTAGTATTTTAATTTTTATTTTATATTTTGACTTATCTAAATAAAAAGATGTTTTTGTTTGGTAGTTCCTTACTATATAATTTATATATTTTTTCTCTTTAATGTAGAGTATCCTATACCGATAGTTTTCAAGATGATCATAAACGGTTGGTCAAGAACGTTAAACACAAATAATAAATGACTTGTTACGATGATATTTAATGTTATTAAAATTGTATGTACTTCTAGGAACCTGTTTCACAAATTGAACCAGAAGATGACGATGACAGTGGCGGAGAACAACCATTATATATTAAAGAAGATGAGGATGAAGAAGAACCTGCTAATGAAGAAGAAGCTAGTATGGATTCAACTGATGGAAATGATACAAGACTTTCAGATCTCCATAACACAACTATTAAAACTGAAGAAGATTCAGAAGAAGATACACCTTTGGTAAATAAAATTTATATTCAAGTTTCACTGTTTCTATATTATAAAGTACTTCATATAATATAAAAATTCTGTAGAGTGCAAGATCCGTGGTTCCAACACGTGTTAAAAGACTATTAGATTCTGATGCAGAAGAAGAGGATGAAGTCCCACTTTCAACACGCAAAAAATCTAAGAAAATTGATATGAAGACAAAGAAAAAAAAACGGAAGCATGAAGATGATGAAGATGATAATATTGCACAAGTAATGCATTTATTTTTGTATACTAGTGAAATAATTGTTTAATACTATATATTTTTAAAAATTTGCTTAATTAATATCTCTATAGAAACCAAAGAAAAAAGGTGCCAGAGTATCAAAGGGAGAAAATTCAAGCCCAAGGAAGAAGAAACAAGAAGAAGAACAAGAAGTTTGGAAATGGTAAATTTTTCAGTATTTGAAAATCCCGCTTACAATGGAACGTTCTTTAGGTTATGTTTGATTCCTGTTTCGCGAAAGTATTCATGCTAAACTACATGCTAGTAGAACATGAATGATTTAATTATTATTTCAGCTTTATTATGATGAAACTTATAGTTCGTTTAGAATTAATCGTATTAAAATGTACAGTTGTTAATTTTAGTTACAAATTTAGTCCTAAATCGAATATTTCTAAAATATCACATTTTAGGTTAGGTTTTATTATATAATACTTTTAACTTCTTTATTTTTATTATATTAAAATTTACATGATCAAAATTAAGTAAAGTAATATATCTTAGGTGGGAAGAGGAAAAGAAGAACGATGGAACAAAATGGACGTTTTTAGAACATAAAGGACCAGTATTTGCACCGGCGTATGAACCACTCCCCCCTGATGTGAAGTTTTATTATAATGGAAAAGAAATGAAGCTAAGTGAAGATGCAGAGGAAGTTGCAACTTTCTATGCACGCATGTTGGATCATGATTATACCACAAAATCTGTGTTCAATACTAACTTCTTTCATGATTGGCGAGAAGTGATGACTGAATCTGAAAGGACGAGAATAGTTGATTTAAGTAAGTGCAATTTCAAGGAAATGCATGCATATTTTCTTCAAAAGTCTGAAGAGCGAAAGGCAATGACAAAAGAAGAAAAGCAAAAAATAAAAGAAATGAATGAAGAAATTCAAAAAGAATATGGTTTTTGTTCTATCGATGGACATAAAGAGAAAATAGGAAATTTCAAAATTGAACCTCCTGGTTTATTCAGAGGTCGTGGTGAACATCCGAAGATGGGTAAACTGAAAAGAAGAGTTGTGCCTGAAGATATTCTTATTAATTGCTCCAAAGATTCTAATATACCAAAACCACCATCTGGCCACAAATGGAGAGAAATTCGCCATGATCCCAATGTTACATGGCTTGCTTCTTGGACAGAGAATATTCAAGGACAAGTGAAATATATTATGCTTAATCCATCGAGTAAGCTTAAAGGAGAAAAAGATTGGCAAAAATATGAGACTGCTAGAAAATTAGCACAATCGATAGATAAAATTCGTGCTGAATATCGGGAGGATTGGAAAAGTAAAGAAATGCGTATAAGGCAACGAGCTGTTGCGTTATACTTTATAGACAAGTTAGCACTCAGAGCTGGTAACGAAAAGGATGAGGATCAGGCAGACACTGTAGGTTGTTGTTCTTTACGAGTAGAACATATTTCGTTGCATGAACAAAAAGATGGAAAGGAATATGTTGTTGTATTCGATTTTCTAGGTATGTTAATGTTTTTTATTTAAATTAAATAGAGGTATACGTTTCCTTCAATATTTATGTATTTTCATTTCAATATATTTTTAGGTAAGGATTCCATAAGATATTACAATGAAGTGCCAGTAGAGAAACGAGTATTCAAAAATTTACAACTTTTTATGGAGAACAAGTCTCCTGGTGATGATTTGTTCGACCGTCTTAATACAACTGTCATGAATAAACATTTAAATGAATTGATGGAAGGTCTTACTGCTAAAGTATTCAGAACATACAACGCGTCATGGACGCTACAACAACAGTTAGATAAATTGACAAATCCTGATGATACAGAAGCAGAAAAGATTTTGTCATATAATAGGGCAAATCGAGCAGTTGCAATATTATGTAATCACCAGCGTTCAGTGCCTAAGACACACGCAAAATCTATGGAAAATCTCAAGGCAAAAATAGAAGCTAAAAAAGAAGCCATAGCTGATGCAGAACTTGCTGTAAAAGATGCTAAACGCGACGCGAAGCATGGATCTGTTAAAGAAAAAGTGTATGTTAATTGTAATTTAAGATTTAAAAATAATAAGTATCTTATTGTGTTCTCATCATTGCAGTGTGTATGAAAAAAAGAAGAAGACTCTCGATAGATTAAAGGAGCAGTTGACGAAGCTGGAAGTCCAAGCGACAGATAAAGAGGAAAACAAAGAAATTGCATTAGGCACTTCCAAGCTGAATTATCTTGATCCTAGGATCAGCGTTGCATGGTAATTTTTCATTGTCTTTCGATTTCATAAATAATCTATCATTCAGCAGTAAAAAATTATTTAATTTCTGATCTTTTAGGTGCAAGAAGAATAACGTCCCTATTGAGAGAATTTATAACAAAACTCAAAGGGATAAATTCAGATGGGCAATAGACATGGCAGGACCAGACTATGTCTTTTAACCCCATAGCAGATTGGTTATTCTTCAGGAAAATAATTCCCACTGATTGTATTTAGTGAATTTTTCGTTTAATAATCGGGAGGAAAATAATGGTATAATTTTCTATATTTACAAAAGATAAATGCGAAAGTGCGGGGACATATTTTATATAGAACACTGCGTTAAAATTTTGGTAAAGATCTTATAATCAGTGTTTAATCGACACATACTTGTAGTTTAGAGCTGATCGCTTAGCAATCACGACGCATAAATTTTTAGCGGTGCATTTGCATATAGGCGATTACAAAAATTATAAATATTGAGAATGGAAATTGAATAGATTGAAGCAAATTTAAATCTTTTAGGTAGAAATTTCTAATACGTGTGAATTGCAAAAGTGAATCAAGATCTGTGCAAATGATCTAAATTTAGAGGACATATCTTAGTTGCTTTTATAGTACAAGAATTTTACGACCTCTAAATTTAGAAGTATACGATAAGTATGGGCTGTTGCATTGTAAATAGAATTATTCATGAACATTGCCAGCCATTTAAGGAAAAAGGTATATGTGTATCGGATTGATAAAAACACGTTTGCCAAACGGATAAGTAATTTTGTATTCGTTTAATTTGATTCTTCTTATAAATGTATAATATTATCACAGAAAGTCATTTACATCGTGTATAATGACATTCTTAGAATGTTAGAGTTCTGCGCTCTATGTAAACTTTTTAGTACCAAATTTATCAAAACGAAAATATGGTTAGCAAACTTGATTGGAACATACCTATTGTTCCAATACAAAATAATTATGATATAGTAATGTATTTAAAAAGTAGATTATCGCTTTTAGCGATTTATGTTTTATAAAACAATGTTTAGATCATAATAAATGTAAACGCAGTGTATCCTTAACATTTTTTTAATATTTGTACACATACAAACCTTGTGATCACCATGGTATTAAGTTCCATGAAAGAATGCTATTGATTTTAATATGCTAAAACCTCACGTATTACGTTTATGTAGCAATAACAAATTTGTAAGTGTAATTAGTTTCATTCAAAAATCTTTTCCCGAATTAAGTAATATGTCCACTAGATTTTTACATGTATTCATGAGTAAGATATGCGAAATTGTTGTAAAATTTTTCAAAATTCTTAATTCTATGCAAATTGTATTTGTCTATTTTTTGTACAAGATAATCTTCTGTAACAAAGAATATCTTCGTTTGTGTGACTAGTGGGACTCAAGTTATACATTAATATTTGAGAATATTGAACATCTTATTTTGATTCCTTACGAGCATAAGTAAATCATATTTAGGATAAATTGTGCTATTGTCTATTTATCTTGGAATATGAAACAGAGACGAGTAATTTTTCTCGTGAGATTAGCATAGATAGCTGCTAATTCTGAATGGATTACAGATGTCGGAATAAAAATACTGAACTTAATGTTATTGATTGCTCGTCACTGACAAAATATTCCCATGACTCTATGTTGTATGCATATAAATATACACGATCATTTACACCCGTAATTATATATAGGTATATATATTTAAGAAAATTACAATGATAAAATTATACAAATGTATAATTGGAATGGTGGTTCTTTATACTCCCTGTTTTACTGGATTAATCGCATGTTAGTCCATTTTATTTAAAAATATATACGTCACATATTAATACATTTTGAGAAACGAGCAAGTACTATTGAAACCACTATTCTCTCGAAACTGCCAATCATTGTACGATTGATCGTATAATTTAACAGTCTGATATGCTACAGAACCAGTTTCTCAAGTTAGATATGTCTCGTAATACCTTAAAAATTTCATCTATAATTCGCATAGATGAAATATTTTATTTATATCAAACCTTGCCTTGCTATTTACTATTATAGAAATATTAAACTTTTCTTTGTATACTAATGATATACCTTTAATTTTATTTTTATTTGATAATTATTAACGATATTGAACATTTTTACAAGTGAAACTGGTACTGTACTTTCGATTGAATTAATTTATATGATAGAAAAAGTAGACTGAATTTATGATACATACATGAATATGTACAGTGCTGGACGAAAGTATTGGCACAGCATAAGTTTTAGTATACAAATGCTCACAACTGCGAAAAGAATTGAACTATAGAGTACATTGTTCTATAAACCCTTACCTCACACATTTTAGTTTATTATACAAGAATCTATAACATAAATTAAGTGATTTTCTATACAGACAAAAGTATTGGTACGCAGTACGAAATATCATTATTCTTTATAACAAAATTCCTGATACATAAAATCATCTGTTACATAAAGTTAATATGTCATATGGAAATTTTGCAAAAATTGAGAAGAACAATTGTTTTATTTTCTGGTGTGCTATAGACTGATTTAAAAATCAATGAAATGTTGACAACCTGATTCATAATGCTGGTGTTTGTAAACTACTGAATGGATTAAAAAGCGCCACGCATCGAGTAAAAAAGAAACGAACACGTACTTTTAAAAGAATGGAAAGATATCTAATTTAATCGAAAAGATAGTTTATTTAAAGCCAGAAAAGTTGAAACAGATTATTAAAAGAAGGCTAACATTAAAATATTAAAAATTTATATTTAGTTGAAGGAAAATAATAATAGCTGAGTGTGCCAATACTTTTGTCTACTTAAATGATACTTGAACAATGTATTTTTATTATTATTTTTATATTGCTTTATTTATGTTACCAGTACTTATTGTATAATAAACTAGGATATGTAAAATAAAAGTTTATGGAATATTGAATTCACTAGTATAATTCTTTTTGTAGTTATAAGTATTTGTAACCTAAAAACTATGCTATGCTAATACTTCTGTGCAATGTTGTATGTCGTATCTTAACTTATGCATTGAATTCATTTGCAATATAGTAATTAGTGAATAATTAACATGACAAATTATAATAAAGTGCAATCAATGAGTAGACCTTTGATGTCGAATGTTTATGCACGTAATATAACTTTTACAAAAAACAGAAAATTGCTATTGATATCTAAAAATTATTCATGTTTTCTAAGTTATGTTCAACAACTGGCGAGTTTAGTCGATCACTTAATAGCATTTAATGATAACGCGATGGGACAAAATAAGAAGAAAAACATAATAGAATTTTGGATATACATGGTTCAAAATGCAAATGTACAGACAATAGACCTAGATAAATTTTCAATTTCGGGTCACTCTTATATGGAGTGTGACCAAAATTTTGATCTCATTGAAAAATCAAAGAAAAAAGCAGCAATACGTATTTGTAGTCGAAAATTTAATGTTCACAAGATGGATGTAAATAAATTTTTATCTACTGAACCCATGAACAAAATTGTAAAAGACAATCTTAAAGAGATTTGTTACATTCGATGATTCCGACTGATAAAAGAAGAGCTATACACACTTTATTATAAATAAACCCTTAATGAAGTGGTTGAATTTTTAATGATTGACCTCAAAAAATCTGAAGGAAGTCGCCCAATCATCCTGTTATAAAGATAGACAAGTACAAAAACTTACAAAAATTACTCCAATTTTTGTCACCCATTCACCATATCATTTATAAAAACCTGAAATATCTAAACAAGTCTACAGCCAATGAGGATAAGAAAAGGATAATGAACTACAACGTGAATCTAATAATAATATTGACGATGATGCAGCATGAGCATTGACGATTAATCTGAATCAAATCACTTTTTTGTACTCATTGAATTTTTTATTTTGATTAATGAAAATTATAAGGAATTGATAAATTTAAGCGCATTTTTTTTTTTTACATAACCATGAACTTTTACAAAATGTTAGAAAATATGGTTCGTAGTACGAAATAGTTTGAACATCACCAGAGACAGAGTCGATTTTCCCGACGAAGTCTCTAGTCTCAAGCTCTCCTTGGAGACATTCGTTCGATTACGCGAAGTACGTGCAACGAGCTATAACCGTGCGTTGCTCGTGCCGTAATTGGAAGTTCAGTTCTCGCGCTCCGTTTCCGTTGGACGTATGCAACAAATTACGTTGTACGTGCATGCAAATGTTGCATTCGTCCAGTCCTCTGACAACAAAACGTTTCGACAGATCAAAGGATGCGTTCTTCATTGAGCGGCAGAGAAAAGAAAGCATTTGACCGTCAAATGCGCAACTCTTTGGTTTAGCAAGGGGTATGCAATTGATTAATAAATGCTTCGGTTAAACAAAAGTACCCCGCTGAGCGGTTCGACGCTGGTCGTTAGGCAAGCTCTGTGGGTCGCGTGCGAGTAACTACGACTCGACGCCATTGTCGCGGGGGTAGGGCTTACGGTTCGATAGTTTCACGAAGATAAAATCGTACCCATCGTTTCTTTGTGGCCCTTCTTTACGGTCTGGAATACCATTCGGGAAGAAAGTTCGATGTCGAGGTATGGGGAGAGGAGAGGGGAGGAGAATTGAAGAACCGCTGCACACGAATTCTCTCTTCCACGTGCAACAACCTGCTGGATCTCAGCCGTATCCTTATCCGACCTATAGATCTCTTTGCTAAGTCCGGAAGGCGTTCGAGCCGTTCCCGAGATCGAATCTTCCTCCGGTGGACGTGGTATTGAGTATCGATCGTCGAATAAAACTACCGGCAGACCGTTTACCGTCTGTATCGTTGAATTTCCCTATGTCAACCGTTCGAAGGCGATCCAACCAGGCTCTCACGAATTCGTTCGCGGTTCTGTCGCGGAAACGTGTACCTACAGTATAAACGTATGTCGCACGATCTTGTAGTTTTTTTGTTGGAAATGTGGTTTCTGGTAGGAAAACATTTTTATTCGTTTTTATTCTAACTATTTAGTGACTTTATTCGCTATATTAATCTTTCAGCCGTGAGCGATTTTGTGATTTGTTTAGAATTAGTAGAGTATAAGGTTGGTAAATTAACCCTTTGCGGGGTTAGGTTAGCTTTGCAATCCTTTAATAGCAGTTATTCTAAGAGTATTTCTCGTAGTATTATAATTGTGTTAAAATATATTTACCAACAGAAAGAATAACCAATTGACCAACTCGATGAAACTTTTCGAGCCTGTTCCTTAGCCAAAACAAAAATATTTCAATCTGGCACTATGCGTAATCGCGTTATGTAAGCGTTAAGCGTAAACAATTTTCCGATGGACGTGATTGGCATAGTAGCAAAGTATTATCTTCCTCCTTTTTTCTAGTCTCTTAGTTGGTATTGGAGTTGATTGGCAAACAGCATTCAATTAATTTCAGGGTTAACTACTTCAAACTAGAATTAACAAGAGATTTCATGAAATAGTCATAGTTTTTAATGTAAAACACGCAGCGGAAAATCATTTAAATTCTTGCGCGGAATTGCAAAAGAGACCGATAGTGACGTTTTATTCGTTGGTTAGTATGCGCATACGATTAATACAATTAAATTTATCGTACGAGCGATTATCACGATTACTTTTCGTAATAAATTACGAAAGCAAGCGCAAAGTAATCAATTACCGAACCGGCTCTGTTACGAATTTAAAATTTCGCCAGCGGTCGTATTAATTGGTCGTCGAAAATATACAACAGGTTTCGAGACAGAGGATAATAAAACGGGGAAAATAAAGAAACAAGCATAATGTCCAAGGCCCATCGAACGGTTGAATCGACACGGAGCGCAGGCATAGGTCGTTCGTCGTAGCCGCTCTCGCGAGCGTAAGAGCCAGAGTGCGCGCGCAGCGGTGTAGGATCAGTTGTACGGTAGTCGTCACAGGGCAGGCGCCCCCTCCGCATCTCCACCGCCTGGTCCGGCCCGCAGCGCGGCGCACCGTGTGTCGAGCCAAGCCGAACCGAGCCGAGTCGGTCAATACTCCGGGCAACGCGGCGGTGAGAGCACATCACGGTCGCCCGTACTCGTGCACGCCGTCGTCGCTCGCAACAAATTCGTGCGATTCGCGTCTCTCGAGGACCGTAATATATCGAGGTTCGCGCCAGGCGTCTGTCGGTAGAGGCGCCGGTGGACTGACCGACGTATCTATTCTCGCGAACGGACGCGGATGAAACGCGTCGCATAACAGCGGACACGCATAGAGGCACACGCGGCGCGAGCCAGCGGCAGAGCGCATCGTAACGCACAATCTCGTCGCATCCGATCGCTTCGTAACGATAAAACCGTGCTAGCAGCGTGTACCTGAGTTGACAGCGTTCTCGGGGCTCGAACGAGGCGCCGTGTGCCTCCTTCGCGAAATACTCTCGAACGATGCGAGTCTGCTTCGTGGGAGAGCCGTAGGGAGCCGAAGGACAGTGTCAGGACACGTTCTGCGGTGGTGAGACGACGTGACACGCGAGACCGTCGCGGGTGCTCCACGGACTTTTGCGGTAGTGTGCGGTGGGCTCGATTACGCGGACAGTGGGAGTATTCCCGTGCAAGGATCCGTCGAATACACCAAGCAAGATCAGCGTAGGTGCCGCGTGTACCTGACCGACGACGTTCGGCGATGAATCCTGAAGCGTGATGGACAAGCTCGCGTACGCAGCAAGCAGCTTCCAGCTACGTCTCGCCAGCATAATCATGGATACGTGGATATTCTTCTTGTTTGTCGCCATTGCCGGTGAGTCTGCACAAAATCTTCTCTCGCGATCGTGGACTCGATTTCGATCCTCTCTTTGTCAACCTACGCGTTATCCGCCGGTCGTCACGTTGTTCCTGTAATTGTTCTCGGTTTATCGATTCGACGTGGTGTTGTACGCTGCGTGACTCGGTCCGCGTGCTGTCACTCGACGTGTCAATACGCATTACGTATGCACAACAGGCACGTGCGGCACGCTGAGTAAGTGCGTCGTATCTGTGCCATGGTTGAAAGACTCGGCTCATTCAAGAGATCAAAGAGAGAGAGAGAGGGGAGTAATCGACGCCACTTTCGTTCTTAACTCGTGGATACTTCGTTTCGCTTTTGGTGCGTTTCAAGGCTTCGGGGACGCGTCCGGAACGTTCCTGGAATCGGCGATAGAGGCACGTTGCCGTGAGAAAATATTGGTCACAGCACATACGATTCCCTCTATCGTTTCATTCCGTTCACTTTGCCCCGATCCTGTTCGGGAGACGTTGTTTGCTTTTGCTACTATCGGCGACCTCGTGGGGTAGGCGCCACCGAGTGCACACGCTCAGCCAGTGCACACCGACGTGGGGACGGGTACAATGCCAGATGGCTGACATTCTCGGTGACGAGCAAGGGGATCAGGGAAGTCCTCTTTGTCCCTATCTTCTTCCTTCGTCTCTCTTTTAAACTGTTTGCACGCAGGGCTCCGATGTCGATTACTATGTAGGTAATTAAATGGAGTCTTTTACACAAAATCTGGCTAGGTTAGGTGCAAGTGCAAAACTTTTGTGACCGGTACGGGGTCTAATGTGCGGTGCAGACAGACGCTGTTACTTTATCTTGTTCCGTTTCCGTCTCGCTTCTACTCGAATTCTCGATCCATCAGGCTCTGGCACGTTACAACCTTCTATTTCAACACATTGAGTCGGATTCGTTTTCTTCACCGTCTTCTCCGTTCTCTGTGTCCCTACTTCGTTTTCCGGTTACTTTGACTCCTTTCTTCCTCGCAGCCGGTTTTACTTGTAATTTACCACCGTCCCGGGCTGCCCTTTCTCGTTGTATCTCCGATTCGCGAAATCAGCCACCCTGTGTCCTCTTCCATTAACTTTTATGTACACGACGTGTCGTTCTATACCTAATCGAATTTCTAAAGTTGGATGTTAGTTCCACAAAGCCATGACCTTTGTAATATACGATAAAAGAAATTTTCAGTGTCGTAATATTCCACTGGTATCAAGAATGTAAACATAGTACTGTTGTGAACATGTAATAGTTATATAAGCTCATTTTATTTTTTACTAATATGATTTCTGATTCACAACATGGGTTTACCAGTGTAAGATCCACTACTGATCTTACAGTGTATTACAATTATATTTTTTCTGAATTAAAATAGAGAAAAAGTAGACGTTATTTATTTAGAATTTCGTAAAGCATTCGTCTCATTAAATCATGATACTTTTATTGCAGACAATTTTTATTTATTCTTTTAACGCTTACACGAACGGCGGTTATTGAATTTTTTTAGATTCATATTTTATCTATTACAGTATTTATGTATTTAAACTTTTAAGAAATATATTAGGTAATTATTTTTGTGTTACAAAATTGTATGTTACTTACCTGGCAAATCCATAGTTCGTTTCTTTTTTATATCAAGAATTATTATATCCATTTTTGTAAATTCACGGAACTTTCATCGTGAACCTCTACTATTGAATTTATTTATCAACGATATCTGATTATCGACGATATCAAGAGCTCTTTGGATGTGAATTTTTACTGTATGCCGATAATCTAAACCTCTATAAGCGTATATCATCTATTACTAATTCTATATATTCGTTTTTAGTTTTTGTAATGCAAGTTTGACACAGTAAAGAAATATTATTATTATCTATGAATTAGGGAATTGTTCATTCATAAACTATCTGGTTACTCGGTTTAAACGGGACGGTGTATCTGATGGAACTTCTTCCAATAATTAATGCGATTGGTTACACAAGAAATTGACACAAGACTGACCTATTAATCTTTCATTAAGAAAAGCAAACAGTTATCGAACATTCTATACAGTTTAATGGGAATAGTAATACTAACTCTGTTTCTCATTAAGAATCATCGTAGTACAAAATGGCGAAATAGGACGTATGTTTATATAACATTTCACCCTTGTTTTTGTGTTTTTCAATAGATCTTTGAAATACATATTAAATGTTACGTTACACCTTAAATGTTTAATATGGTCTATTGTGCAATGCAAAAAAGTTCATTTGCACTTATTTTTTGAATGGAATTAAGGCCAATTAAATAATTAGCATTTTAAGAGATATTCCATTTTACCTTTTTTTAAACTTTAGAAAGTTTTAAAATCTCAAAATTTACTTTCAAGACGTACAAACTTAGTTTTAGATTAATACCTTCGTTTAATTAAAATCAGATGTAAAAACATTCATAATTTTCAGCATAAAAATAAAATAAGAAAAATCTCTATATAAAAGAATTATAATAATAATAAAAAATCTGTACCATTAATGGTCGTGCAACCCCAAACAAATACGTATTCACCACCTCCTTTAACAGTTGATTTGGTACATTTTGTATGAACACTTTGACGGCCGCTGTCACGTATACGTGACTTTGTGAGCTAGTAGACGTTAGCCACTGTCACGTGTGTGTGACCTACTGTAACAGTCACCATTTCATCATACATTCAACTTATTACGTTTGTTGAGGTTACATTTATAATTCCTTATAATAATATTCCTAGCATCATCATGTACAGTCGCGTCGGTATTTATGTTGACGCTGTTGTATTTCTGGTATTGACGATATTGTTCCATAATTTAAACACTTGTACGCGCCCTTCCGTACATTCTGACATTGTTTACATTATGTACAAGAAATGCCTCAGTATACCAGTGAGTGTCAAAGCGAAAACACCGCGTACAATCAAATAACAGTCAATCTGTAAAAATATTTCCTAAATTTGGTTCGCCGGAAAGTAAGTTGACGTAATCAAGTTTTTATTTCATTAATAAAATTTTGCTATTAAACGTGCATTTAATAATTTGATAATGTATTTAGTCTCTTATATAATGTTTTTTTTTTGTTATGTATTGTTATTGTTAAGAATTGGTTACTTGTAGCATGCCGAAAATACGGGAATTACACGAGTCTGAAAGATTATTAATTTATAAAAGAAGGAGAGAAGGCCAAAGTTTGCAACAGATTGCCACAGATTTTGGGATATCAAAGGAAGGGGTGCGAAAAATTTATAAAAAGATAGAAACTACTGGGAAACCTGAAAATTTAGTTAGAACGGGAAGAAAAAGAAAAACAACTCCCCGTCAGGATCGAGAAATTGTTAAAATAACAAAAAAGGAACCATTTATTACTGCCAAACAGATCAAAGAAGATTTAAATTTGCCAATAGGGACCACTCAAATAAAATCCCGTTTATACGAAGCTGGGTTGCATAGTCGAATATCTAGGAAGAAGCCACACATTTCCGAAACAAATGCTCGCAAACGTTTAAATTTAGCAAAAGAGCATTTTAATAAACCGACTGCATTCTGGGATTTCATAATTTGGAGTGATGAGTCAAAATTTGAATTACAATCAAACAAACGAAGGAAATATGTGTGGAGAAAAAAAGGAGAAGCTTTTAAACAAAATGTTATCACCTCCACCGTGTTTCACGGTGGAGGGTCTATAATGTTATGGGGCTGCTTCAACAATGAAAATGTAGGAAAATTAACAGTTATTGATGGTATATTAACAGCAGCGAAATACATCGATATTCTAAAAGAAAATTTGTTTCCATCAATTCAAAAATTTGGGCCAGATACAGGATACATATTCCAACACGACAACGATCCGAAACATACTGCAAAGATCGTTAAAAAATTTATCGACGAAAACAATATACATATTGCTGCTTTCTTGGCCACCGCAGAGCCCTGATTTAAATCCGATTGAGACCTTATGGGACGAACTCGATCGAAAAATACCAAAATCGGACCGCTATACAAAACCAAAATTGATAGCCGCACTAAAAAAGGCATGGGATGAAATACAGCCCAAAACGTTAAAAAAATTAATACACAGTATGCCAAATCGTTTACTGGAAGTAATTAAAGCCAAAGGGTATCAAACTGCTTATTAAATATTTTTTTTACTGTTACTTATAGAATTATAATTTACTTTATAACCATTGTCAACTTACTTTCCGATAGACGTTCATTAGAAAATATTTGTTAATGCTATTGTTACTCAAATGAACATAATTAATAAGGTGACATTATTTACTTAAGACACGAATAAATTTATTTTTGTAAACATTTCGTATTTTATTTATTTTTATTGTATCCTTTTACGGCTATTTTATAAAAATGATAAGTGTCAACTTAAATACCGACGCGACTGTATCTCACTTTGGTCTACAATATCATTATTTATAGTGCGGCCATTAAAGTGTTAAATTCCTCGCCAATACGACGTCTTACATAAATTTTTTAAGATCCTAGACGATTGAATTTACTTTCGTCGGTAAATACAACTTTGGACCATTGTTCTTCTGTCCAGTTGAGGTGATCTCTCGCAAATCGAAGCCTCGCACGTCGATTCTTTTCAGATATCAACGGTTTGTGCCGTGCCACTCTACCCATTAGATTAAATTTACATAAACGGCGTTGCACTGTTCGAACACTGATTTCATTAACCAGTTGTAGCGATACTTCATTATTAGACTGCGGATGTTTATGCATTTATGGGGAATTTTAATTCTCAAGAAACTACAGAATGCACTTAATATGCAAAAATATAAGAAATACTTAAAGTAAGATACGAATTATTATATTTAAGGGTTGAGACAATCATCTACAAAGCTCCCATTTTATTAATTCTATTAATAAAAATATGAATTTGCATAAAGATCCGCAGTTTATTCATTATGAATAACAACAGCGGTCTTAAAACGGTCGACCCCGGAAAGACGATGTATCAAACGA